AAAAGATTCGGGAGGAATGTAAAAAATCCGAACTGTTATTGAAATGTTTTTGTTAAATTAATTATATTGGGAAAATACATCTCAGAATTCAAAAGCTTCATTTATGTATTTTGTTTATTAAATTTCCTTTGCGTTCTAGCAGCAAATATGACTGAAGTCTTAAATTTATGTTTCCTTAAATGCAGATTTATGTATTTACTTTAATTATAAACTTCAGTATTAAATGGATGCTTCCCTTTTTCTTCTTTTGAGCATAACTTTTGATTTTCAATTACCTGCTTTTTCAGTTACCGCCCAAGTAGAGGCGAAGTTTGTTAGCATCGAGTTGACGCAGTGTACATTTTAAATAGTTAATTAAAGGGTTTGAACCCTTCTTCTATGTAGTTTCCCGCTACTCCTGTATCCAGATAGAAGTTAAACCGCCTGGATACTACAACAGTTCTAAAACATCATGGTACAAAATATCATGGTCGAAAATAAAGCGGTTCAAAAACTTCAGTTTAAAAACATCGTCGTCGAAAATATCGTGGTAAAAAATAAAGCACCTACAAATGATCGCATGAAGATAACATCGCACACATGAGTTTTTCAGGTTTTAAAAGTTGTAATTGCACATCCGCGTAATGATTTGGAAGCGTAAGAAGGAAACGGGGGTATTTTTACTTCTACATTTCACTCAAAAGGTCGTTGCCAAACTTAGCAAGCTGGTTCTTCATGCCATGACAAACAAGATTTTCATAGAAACTTCTGTCCGAAAATAGAACAATGGGACCAAATGGAACATTTAAAACACAAAAGATTTAGGTAAAATACTTCTGTAAATACTGTTACGAAATGTACAGGCCCGGTAAGATGGCTTACCAGCAAAGCAGTTTTAGGGTTGTCATAAAATGGCAAAGGAGGGCAGGGTTGCCCCATTTGGCGATCAATCTCCCACTCGGCGATATTTGGCGAAAAAATTGGCGATATACCATGGACGGTTGTAGAAACTTCTGGAACGAATTCTTACCAGTTTAGCCCAGAATGTTCCGGAACACAAGCGGAATGCTATATAAACCCTGCTGGTCCGCAGTCAGTTAGTGTCTGTGCCTCGTCTAGCGAGCTGATAGTCATTGAGGGAGTGTCTCGAAGTCTAGCGCCGGGTTGGTCGTCGAATGCATCGAGAGAGTCTTTTAGTGCATCGCGAATTAGTGCATCGTCGAGTTTTGTCTTAGACTGTGCTGAGTCGAGAGCTATACTCTTGTGTATCGTCGAGTGCATCACGTGGAGAGTCTCTCGAGAGTAGGTGGAGTTCCGAGAACGACTAAACAGAGTCGGAAGCCGTACTCGGGTGCTTTGCGGTGAAGCTGTCTCCACCGTTATTGCCTGACAGTGTGAAGGCTGTGTCGCTGAACGTGTCAGCGTGTTTATAACAGTTCGACGACTGGAAAAGTGATTTTGGAGCTGATCTGAAAATAATGGTAAATAAAGTGTGTTTCGATACTTCATCAAGTGTCGTTATTCACTTCAAATCCACACGAACCTCGTACGAACGTGAAGGAAGAAAATAATGTAACAATGCGATGAAAATCGTTTAAAAAATGTGCAAGTGGAATCTGTATTAGCTCTGGCTGTATAAACTGTGTTCAAACAATTATACCTCTGCGGTGCACAGTTTTCGAGAAAATCATTAAGGAAAATTCATGGCATCACATCAAAGCAAGAAAATTTAAATTTGTTTTAAATATTTTAAACTTCAGAATTTATCGGGGGGGGATTGTTAAGTTTAGTTTACCAATGCTTGCGAAAACTTTGACGACATGAGATATATTTGTTCTGCATGGTGAAATACGGTTGGCCATGAATGCTATTATTGTGTAAAAAGGAAATCGGCATTCGTTCACGATCTCGAGCTTTCGGCGCATACCAACGGAGCTTCATATGTTGAAATGTACCTATTTCCATCGCAAATTGTTCAAATATCCGACGCTACCACTTTCGCAACTGTAATGTTACAAATTAACTGAATGTTAATCTCATAATAGTTTAAATAAAGTTTGTTTTTCTTTGCATCGAATGTGACGCCATAAATGTTTATTCGCATTTTCCTCGAGAACTTTGGGGGGCTCAAAGTTAAGAGTTCTTTGGGCGCATGTTTTATCCTCTCATAGCAAGAAATATCGTTTTGTGACTTTGTAAGGATTTAAATTTATTCTAACCAATTATTTTTAATTTCCTTTCCCTCCTGATTTCAGTTTCCTGCCGGAATGTAAATTTGTTATGACGTAGTACTGAAATTTAAACGTGTTTCAGAAGCAGTGATTAAGCTGCGTTTCAAGGGCTTGAAAAGAGTAGTTTCGGTGTTTATGTTGCGAGTTTGAAATTAGCACTCTGGTTCGGTGTTCGACCTTTCACTTTTAAGAATGTATTAGTCTCAAGAAGTTTCTGGACAAGTCATAATACACAATACACATGTCGCAGACACAATAGTTGACTCAACATTTCTCGGCTCCGCTTTGCTGGGTGCAGTCGATTTAGCGTTAGTTTAAGCTAATGATAGCTAATAGTTAGTTTAAGCTAATGATAGTTAGTTTAAGCTAATGAGCCAGTCATTAGCTATCTTAATTTACTAGTGATTTGCTACATTCTTATTTTCTGTTAATTTGCGTACAAGAGGTGCTAATTTGTGAGCACGAAATGCGTGTATATGTTCATTTTAGTTTTTATTTATTTATTTATTTATTTTTTAAAGGGGTATTTTAAGCCTTCTGCAGTTTACTTTCAAAAGACATAGCGAGAATTCACTACTTCGTCATAGGGTCAAATATTGTATATTACCAAAGAATACACATAGACTCTATAACAGTCTTTCTTAACCTTTCTAGCAAATCGCACCCCATTGAATCTGAAAATATATCTCCGCACCCCATTGAAAAATGTGTTTTTATTTTTTTAGTTTAGAGAAATACATTTTTTTGCGAAACTTATTGTGTATTGAAAAACATTGTACATTTTATATAAATACAAAACAATATTATTTTTATTAATGACTTGTCTGTTGTTGTTTGTTCATTATTATACTGGCGAAGCGAGGTTCCTTTTTTGAAAGACATACGCGTGAGTCATCACTTGCATTTAAGCGATTTCTCGCTTTAGTTTTTATAGACAAAATAAATCTTTTTCCATCTTTTTCGGTTGTGCAGGTAAATCCATAACCGGCATACTTATCGTTCCATTGTCGTTTTTTTTTTGACATAGTTGGGTTCACTATAATCGATTTAATTATTTAGAAATAATGTAATATAATATATATATATATAATGTTCTTACGTTTGTAATATTACTGAATCCTATTCGGCTTGAACGGGCAATTAAGAATGTATTAGTCTCAAGAAGTTTCTGGACAAGTCATAATACACAATACACATATCGCAGACACAATAGTTGACTCAACTTGACTCAACCTAACACAGGCGCAGTAGAGTAGATGCAGATACAAATCTGTGAATCCGTAAATTGCAATCCATAGAGTAGCACATATTGAACTCAGCGCATGCGCAAGCTGGGATAACGTTCTCGACTTGTATTCCCACAAAGTGTTTTTTTCTTTTCTCCGTCACCTAGCTGCAAGTTCGTGTTCGTTTGTAGCGTTTCATGCCGTTTCGTAGCGTAGTGTATACGCCCATCTTGCCGACAAGTCACTTATCGACAAAATTTATCGACGACTACCAATTTTTATGAGCTTCAATATTGGGGGCACAATTGCAGATTTGAAATATTATATTATAAGAAATTTAATAAATGATATTTAATAATTTTTATGGTTAGGTAGAGGCTTCTCCCGCACCCCCGGTTAAGAACCACTGCTCTATAACGTTTGTACGTATATAAGGTATTTTCTCCCTCCTTTCTGCATGCCTTTGTGGTGTAGCGGTAGCACACATGGCGTGCATTCGAGAGGTCCAGGTTCGAGTCCCCGCTAAGGCATTGCGCATTTTTTATGTGTTCTGCTTCCAAATAACCGAATGACTATACGCATGTTTATGGGAAATCCTGTGTCACCTCGCTTGGACGAACGATATAATTGCACGCTAGAATACAAACTTGTTTCCTTATTCAGAATAAAGGTAAGTGAATGGAAACGTTGGAGCATTTTCCAGCGGTAAATTCGTTTTCGAAGTTAACCTCAAATTTGTTCAGTTACAAATGCAAAGCACGCTGATGACATCTAATACTTTGAGATCAAAACTTGGAACCTTCAAATTATGAAACGTGGTGTGGTGTGGTGTATTTAATTATGGCAAAGCACACTAGGGCTATCTGCCTAAGGGGAGGGATGCCTTTCGTGGAGGACTTTCTAAGGGAAACTGGCTCGTATACACGTTACACATGGGGAAAACCGCGAAAACGCCCATGCAGCCAGCCCGTTCGCGGGATTCGAACCTCGGACCGAACTACCAGTGTTCAGCGACTTTACCGCTCGGCCGCTGGTGGGCTCAAATTATGAAACGATGAAACATAATCCTTATATACTAGACATAAGAGATAAGGAATACCTTTATGGTGTAGTGGTCAGACCACCTTATATATATATTTTTTTAATTTATACTAATTAATTTTGTTAAAAACACGAAATCTAACATTTTATATGGCTCTCCGGCCCTTATACTTACATTTAGAAAAATTTTATACTCGTTATAAAAAAAATATATATAAATAAAACAAAGAAAATTTGATTGTCAAGAGACAAAAATTGACCGAGAAATTTAATTTCAAAACTTGCGATTTCTGACGTCAATTTTAATTTACCTAGAGAGGTCAGTTAACAAATTCGAATACTTCGAGGGTGACCTTTTCCCCCTTTTTAAGGAAACAGCAAACAAAGATATATTTTTACAATTTAGTAATGCGTAACAGTCCATAATTCATTATTTTGTTTCACATTGTATGCCAAAAGAATTTTCATACAAATAACGCTAAAAATACGTTATGAATATTCTCATGCAGTTTTATTTGTTTAGAATCATAATCTTTGGATACCGTGACAGTACTAAAGCCCGTAGGTATTTTCCAGAGCACGAATTCTGCAAGACTGTGTGAGTATCTCCTTTTTGAATTTATTTATCAATGCTTTTCATGGTAACCTCATAGAAATGCCCGTTACTTAATTTATTAAATCATCAAAGGTGTTTTTCAAAACTGATATTTTATTTTCAGTTACTTGGAAATATAAAGATTTCACTTTTCAATTTGTGTAAGGCCCCTGATTGAATATGATTTCCAGATTAAAAACTCTACACTCGTTCAATATTTTTCATACAGAACTCATACATTTTGCATTTTATTTTTCAGAATGAGTATAAAATTTCCTAAAGTACACTGGTGTGCAAAAATTAAGGACGAGACGGTTTTTTCAATATAACTTTGTACAAAAGCTTTCCAAATCAACACATTTAATACCGTAAGATCCCCAATACGTAAGCACATGAGTAATGTAAGCAACACTTACTAAAAGAGAAATCGGAGGGATAAAAAGAAGCTTTATTGAAAAAGTAGCATGGAGCGCAATGCGACTGAAGGCCGAAACATCCCTGTGATGGGTGTCCAACAAGAAACATCCGGTCTTTAATAGGGGATATGATCTCCCCTGACTGCTAGGCAGGTTTCACAGTGTCTGCCCATGCTGAGAATGAGGGTGTCAATGAGTTGTTGAGGCATTGCTGCCCATTCGTCTTGCAGCGCCAATCGAAGCTCCGGAATCGTTACTGGTGGTAAGGTACGAGCTGCCAGTCTGCCTAGAAAATCCCATACATGCTCGATGGGATTGAGATCCCGAGATCGTGCCGGCCAATCCATACGTTCAATATCCTCACTCTCTAAGAGCTGTTCGGCAGGTACTGTGCGATGACATGGTGCATTGTCGTTCATGAAAAGGAACTGCGGACCCATAGCGCCTCTAAAAAGACGCACATATGGAAGAAGAATCTCGTTACAATAACGGGTCCCGTTGACTGAACCTGCGTCGAAGATGTGAAGGTCTGTACGACTACCAAGCATGATGCCTCCCCAAACGAGAACACCACCACCTCCATACCTGTCCCTTTCAATGATGTTCGAGGGATGATTGCGGCTTCCCCGCTCTCTGCTCTCATCTGTAAAGAGTACTCGTCCCCATTCATTGTCTCTCCAATTCCGGTGTTCCCGGCACCACAGAGAACGCCTTCTCTGATGGGCACGCGTTAGAGGTACACACCGTACAGGGCGTCGTGCAAACAGACCACCACCGTGCAGTCTTCTGGCCACGGTAAAACGCGATATCGGTCGTCCAGTCGCCTGTGTCATGTGTCTAGCGATTTCTCCCGCTGTCTGCCGCCTGTTTCTTCTGGCCTGTAAGGCAATATACCGGTCTCATCTGCGGGTGTAGTTCATCGTGGACGACCACTACTAAACCCCCGGATAGCTGTTCCTGTAGTTTGAAATTGTCTCCAAAGTCGTGAAACGATGCTGTGAGCAATTCCGAACTCTGCAACCACACTTGTCACACTGCGGCCTTCCTCCAACTTCCTAATGATTCGACCTGGGGTAAAAGCATCCAGATGTCGTCTAACAGATTGATTATTCGCCATTTCTCGCTGAGGCAGCAACTCGGTGTCATTTTAACTGCTATACGGCGTGCAATCTCTTTGCCAGAAATACTGATCTTACACCGACAACATGCTTTATACTACTCAGACACTCCCCCATTACGTCTACCTGCATATCTGCGCATGTGCTACCGTACATCACCTTACTTAATCTCCTGATTGGTCTTTCTGTCCGCTCTGCCTCTTCGTTCAGCTGATATGCTAATTTTTCGACTTCGTCCTTAATTTTTGCACACCAGTGTATACGACCGAAGGAATGTATAATATTAATTTTGTCATTTTTACAGAAAAAAGAAAAAAAAAAAAACTGAAAGGATGCAGAGTTTAGCTTTCATCCTAAGGGCTCTCTTAAGCTTTAATATGACTTATTAGGTCACATTAGCAATACAGATGGCCTATGTGGAATAAAGAAACATTTTGTAGTGTATTTTTAATCATGAGATACATCTTCTGTATATTTAAAAAGCGAAAAAATATATAATGCAATTCTATAAAAATATTTAGTGTTTTAAGTCTGATATTATTTAATTATGATATTAATATTAATATATCATGAGCTAAATGCATTTTTATTTAAATCAATCGGATTAAAAAGTAAAAACATAATGTTCTCGAGAACTGCATCTTCTACATTTAAATAGTTTAGTTCGTTAATTAATAACAGACAGGTTAAATATAAAAGAACAGTATCTTCCAAATGGCAGCAAACTCGAATGAAAAGTAAACGCATTTAAAATGTGCCTCTCAAAATCGCATTTCTACATGTCTAAATTTTTTTTTTAAATTTAAAAATGCTAAAATACGAATATTTGCATCACTTAAAACATTTTTGTAATTGAAATAAAACGAAAAACAATAAATGAAAACAAAATCTGAAAGTTTTCAAATTTTATATTACGCCCATTTTGTGTTTTAACCTTTATTTATTAAAAATTATGTTCTTCGCACTTAAAATGCAATTCAACAGCAACATCGCAAAATATTTAAAAGAGTATCTTTAGAATTCCGATACATAGTCTCGCGCGTTGGAGATATTTTTTTTTTTTTTTCGTACAGTGTTGCATTGCTTTATGAAATCGTTGAGTTCTTGATCAAAAACTAATAAAGGCTTTACAAAGTATGAAATATATAACAAAACAAATTTCAAATCTGGGATTCCAGATGCCCATATTCGAGTGGAGGACGACGCTATTCAAAACTGGACGGCTAGAGGTATCGTTGTTTTATCACATTGCGAAAAGATACATTAATGCAGATTCTTCATTATTTAGTTTCTTTTCATATAATGCATTTCTCTAATATTTGGTGCCCACAATTTGAAAAGTGAAACGCCACAAAATGCCAAAACTAAATTAGTAGCCCTTCTGGGATAACGCCCTTTGGGGTAATGAATGCAGGGTAATATATTTTATGTATTTTTCGTTATATCATAAACTCTTGTTATACAATTATTATCATATTCTCTGTTATTAATAAAAATTTAAAGTGATATTATTTAAGATTTTATTTAAAAAAAATTACATAAATGGGCTTTGAGATTTAATCTTACACTGATGACAATTACATGCATCTTTTACTAATCTACCATAATAAATTAATTTTGATGAGTTGCATGTTCAAACGTTTTTTATTTGACTTGGATAGTAATACGTTTATTTTTTAGCATGTTTAATTTTTTCAGCTTTTTTAGCGGTACAGTTTTACTTTACATTAAAATGTGAACTCGGTTCTTTAATAGTTTTATAAGGAATCAGTATTATAATACAACATGGTTCGCGCTAGGAATATTTTATATTTCATACTTTATGTCTTTATATAATTTAAGTACTTAAGTATTAATTCAACTACCTAGGCCCATTACGGCGATTTCTTAAATATGATGGCATAAGTCACCATACAGTTCATTTTTCTTACTACTTACTATACTACTGCATAAATATTTTATATTTTAATAAAGTATTTATTTCAAAAAATCGATCAATAAAACTATTTACAAACTGTATTTCATTTCTTTCGTTCTGGTGAAAATTTGGTGGCGATCGTTTTAATATCAGATTAAAATAAATAAATAAATAAATAAATAAATTATTTCTGTTAGTGATTTTGCTGCAAAACACTGTATTCCTGCAGAAATTTTACCAGTTTCTTCCATTGATAGCAAAATCCACAAGTGCATATTTTAAAATTGAGTTTAAGGGGGAAAAAAAATCACTATTTGCGCATAAAAACCATTCGAAGTTAGAGCACAAAAAAAAAAGAAGGCATACGAAAATGGCTATGTTGCTTGACTGAAGAATTTTATGAGCATGGCTGCCTGAAAATCTGTTATGTGCATGGATGGCAGAGTTTGGTAGAGTTTGAGAGAATCCTGAAAATTTAGAGACCTCTACTAATGTGGTTCTATGAATGTTCCATTGAAAAGTTTTGGTCTGGAGAAGTTGATGACAAGGACCCGCAGTGTAAGACCTCTGGAATTCATCCCTCGAAAGTTACTGGTCAAAGCTGGAATGAAAGGGAGGTAAGTAGCCCCTTGTTCTTTGCTAATATCTCTTTAACAACTCATGCTTTGCCCGTGATTGAATCCAATCCTACGCAGAATTTTGTGAAGTGTTTTTAATTTTGCTGAAGGAAACAAATTGTCTGCTTTTATTTAGACAGAAAAAAGTCTTTACGAAAATTTTGCAACCTATTAATTTAGGTCTATTTAACTCACCTACAAATACTCTTTTCGATTTTTCATAGATTCATTAACTTTTAATGTTTCACAAAATGGTTGTTTAATAGCAAAATTTAACGGTGATCAGACTTTGACCTACCAGTGAATGTGTGAAACACTGTCTGAAATTCAATTTTGAATAAAATAGGCTGATAGTGCATGTCTGCTTGAAGTTTCTCCATAAATATGCCTTCCTTAGCCAAATTACTTGTACAATTTTTGCTGGTGCTTTCATATTATCCCGTGTCGACCGTTGGCAGAAATTTCGGCAACTGTCGCCAATCCCCAAAAATTGCTGCGGGATTCGAAACGAAGCGGTCAACCATAAGTGGCGCTAAATCGCGTTACCTTGGCGGTCGACGGGATAATACGTAGTACTCGTTTGTCATAAATTAATACACTTAATTTCAATAATGATCAGATTCCTGTTGTTTACAGCATTAATCATAAAATTTACACCATTATCTCGTGTTAAGGTTAAAATTCTCCCTCTTTAAAACTTGATTAAATATGTACTTTAACTAACTTAAAAATTATTATGTCGGAATATATGTTTAAAATTTTATATTTCAAGAAAAAGATCAACATTAACAAAGCTGTTTTGCCTGTATATATTGTTACGAATTTTGTATATAAGTAAATAATTTTAGTGAAATTGTAGCATTTTTCTGTATAATGTAACACGAAATACTTGAAAGAGACGAAGCCTTGTCGGAAAAACAAGATTACAGGGGCATATTACTATACGGGGAAAGTGCAGAATCACCCACTGCTTGGCTCGTTTTTAAGAACTGTACATGCTCGGTATCCATGCACACATCGACCTATTTTCACCTAAAAAAAAATCCCAGAACTGCACAAAAACGGCATTGCGCACTCCCTTTATCCATGTACACATCGACCTATTTTCAATTAAAAAGTCAAAGAAAATTGACAAAAATCGAATTATTCTTACTCCTGTAAAAAGCACCAAACAAATAAGTGGGCGATTCAGCACTTTACCCTACTATACTAAACGGGGTAACACTGTGTGAATGGCTATCTCACTAAATTGGCGAGACAGCCTAGGTTTTCGGGACTAATTTTTGTAGCCAAATTTGACGATAAACCGCTAAAGGTCACCAAAATTCGTGACATTCTCGTCCAGTCCCTTGTCTAACTGTAATTGATCCCTATATGCAATTGTAACCATATCTGCACTTAGTATAACTTAACCATATATGCCTTCTAGTAATTTCGAGAAAGGGAAGGTACTAGAGATTTCTTAGGGGAATATATGCAATACCGGACAGAGCATCAGCTCTCAGCTGTTTAGTTCAGCGTTGAGTTCCGAGTATTAGAGATCTCTGTGTGAGCTTCGTTTTTTAAATGCGCTGTATTGAACATTCTTAATTGTGATACTAAGAAAAGCTGTACGAGTATATTTGTGGTAAGTTTCAGAACTGTTAAGTGTTTCTTTTGGTTAAATAAATTTTAACAAGCTGTCGTCGGTTCTGTGTGCATTCAATCCATTACAAACCCGTATGCATGCAGCGATATGTATTAATGAGAAAAACCTGAATATTATTCGGTCAACAGAGTTTTGTAACTTAATTTTTAATATAAATGTCTTGTTCCAAAAAAGATTTAATACACCCAATTTTTTTTTATAATAATCATTACATTAAGTTAGAAATTTTTCTTTCTGGCTTGCTCTAATTACTATCATTTTAAATACAAGCATTTGTGTTGTAAATAACAAAAAGTTCAGTGTAATCTGTATTAGATCTGTACGCATCTGTGATTTATAAGATTTTGGAGATTTGTCAACACTATGCATGATGATCTTATGCAAATGCTGCTTAAGGTGTCCAAAAGAATACATGGGCAGATGGATATTTTGAAAAATCATTTTGAAATGCTTATGACATATGACATAGCATCAATATCAGCACACAGTATTTCAGACAGGCTGAAGTAACTTTCAGATATCATATGTATCGGCAGCACAGCCGTTAGATGTCGCGTACTTCCGTTAACTGTATTTAACTTTGTTCAATTATTTGATTTCTTTTTTAATTTCATGTATGTGTATAAATATAAATATTCTTTTAATTATCTTTAAATTAATGTCATGTACTTAAACCTCAAATAATTGTACTTATTGACTTGATGTATTATTTTTTTGTAACAGTAATTCTGTTGTGTACATAAATTTAATTGTTACACTTCATGTATTATAATGTACTGTAATGTTAATCGTTACACCTAATGGTTTATATAGCTGATTGTGCCAAGCATATCCATGATGTCATACCTTGTACCTGCACTGTAAATACCTACAGAACTAAATAGTCGTCACGTTGTGAAAGCTCGTTAACAGTATTTAAGTTGTATCTATGCATCGCTAGCTCCATACGTGCATCCTTGTTCACCAAATTTCAATTTTTGAAAAGAATTGAAAAACATCAGTTTACTAGTTCCTTCACTAAATTGATTTTTTTTTTATTTCATGTATGTTTCATTTTTTTTATTCATGCAAACACATAAATATTATTTTAATTATCTTTATTTAATGTCATGTACTTTAACATCGAATAATTGTACTTATTGTCTTACTTAATGCATTATTTTTTGTAACAGTAATTCTGTTAATTGTGTATACATATTTGTTACACTTAATGTATTATAACGTACTGTAAAGTTAATCTACATTTAATGTTTTATAATGTACTGTAATGTTAATGTATTTATTATATAGCTGATTGTGCCAAGCATATAAATGCTGTCATCTTTGTAAATACTTATAGAACTAAATAGTCGTCCACGTTGTGAAAGTTCGTTAACAGTATTTAAGTTGTATCTATGCATTGCTAACTCCATACTTGCATCCTTCTACCCCGAACTTCAATTTTTGAAAAGAACTGAAACACATCAGTTTGTTGTTTACCAAATTAGCCTGGCAAGTCTGCAATCCAGGAAATTTTTAAGAAATATAGTTCTGTCGGCAAAGCTATCTGTGTAATATACTAATTGCCCTGTTGTCGGAGCAAAGAAAATACCTTCCTATCAAACAGGCTGGCTGAACACAGAGTTTCCCCATGCACAATACAAATAAATCCCTTTACACATGTGAATTTCCCTTATATGTCCATCACAAAGATGTACTACCAAAATTCTAATAATACACATATGCATATTCAAGTTAACTAGTGTTTTTTCAGTTAATAAATATGATAATCTTCAGTATGTTAATTGTAGATATTAGATATAATCGTAGATGTCAATGGGCTTACATTCTAAAATTCCTACATATAAATAATATCCAAATCGGTATATAATTCAGACATTTCCACACAAAGTGAAAGTATTTGTGTAGTTATTTATATGCTTATAATGTACATATTGATTGAAGAAGAAATCCTTTACAAAACATAATCCAAATAAATATCATCTATCCATGTAAATGAACATGTCTTAATCTATAGTTAATACTCTATAGTAAATGAATATGTTTTAATCTATAGTCATAATATGTTTGAGTCTGCATATACAGGGATACTCATTCTGGTCACGATATTTCCTCAGTAATTTTTTAGGTACTTTTAAGTATGCCAATATTCAAGTTGTTCAGACTATAGAGATATTTTCGTGTAACTGGTAATGTATGTATATTAATTAAAATTCTTTTAATCTACAGTTCCATATATATATTCGGTACTTTTCCGTTTTGCCGGCGCAAACGATAAAGTCGCCAATAATGGTTTAACTGATGCCAGACGGAATATCTTCGCTGGTAACCTTTTACGCCTCAGTTTCAAAACAAGTTGCAGCCATTTCTTATCAGATTGTTTCTTTCAGTACTAGCATACAATAATATAGAAATTTTACACGATATTTAAATTTTATCCCCCTAAGACAATTCACGGAAATTAAGTCAATTAGAACGCAATTACACCGCTCATCCGAAGGCGAAATCAAGTGTTAAATTCATCAATTCTAATGAGAATGCACTAGCGAAGTAAAGCACTGCGGTTTTACATAATTTCTGAGTAAGCTATTCGTACGAATTGAAATAATTCTTGCATTTAAACTTGTATTCCAAATTAATATTTAACTTGAAATTAATGTAGATAATTACTGAGGGAATTAGATTTTTGTAGCGTAGTTTACGTGAGATGAGATCATTTGGATCACGTGATATGAACCGGCGAATCAGGATGTTGAACCTTGAAAGCATAGTAAATTCTTAAATTAATGTCTTTTTACAAATTTATTGTCTTTATTTATTGGCTTTTTACAAAATTTTAAACCATATTAAAATGTTTATGCCTTCAAAATAATAAAAAAAAATTCTTAGAATTAACATTTTTTATGTGTATACTGTATGTTGTCGCCAACAAAGTCTGCTTGGCGAGATTTGCGCCGGCGAAACGGAAAAGTACCATATATTCTTCATTGTGTAAGCTAGTTCTAAGCAATTGATGTTTACATATATGTTAATTTATATACCTATTATCTGTAGCAAATATACATAAAATACAGATTTCAAAAGATCACAAGATTCTTCTTAGAAACTGTCAAGTAAGTAATTCAAGTATATAATATATATGTGTACATGTACTTATACGACCACAGAATTTTTGTCTTTCTCTTTAAGAGTGTGAAGCCCTGAAAGTGAATTGCTCTATAGTCATAATATGTTTGAGTCTGCATATACAGTATACTCACTGTGGTCATGAAATTTCATAAGTAATTTTTTAGATTCATTTAAGTATGTCAATATTAAAGTTGTTCAGACTATCGAGATATTTTCGTATAACTGGTAATGTATGCATATTAATTAACATTCTTTTAATCTACAGTTCTGTATACATATTCTTCATTGTGTAAGCTAGTTCTAAGCAATTGGTGTTTACATATATGTTAATTTATATACTTATTATCTGTAGAAAATATACGTAAAATACAGATTTCAAAAGGTCACAAGATCTGTCTTAGAAACTCTCAAGTTAGTAATTCAAGTATATAATATATATGTGTGTACATGTACTTATATGACCACCGAATTTTTGTCTTTCTCTTTAAGAGTGTGAAGTTCTGAAAGTGAACTGCTCTTAATTATTATTATTAAAACATAACACAAAATTCACTCAGAAAAGTTTTTTAATGAAATGACATGATCACATAACAGGCACAGAGCCACACCAATGTATGATCTTAGAGATCAGCATAATTAAATGAACTTAAATTAAGAGTTTGATTGTACTACAAGAACTGTCTATGCAACAGTGTTCAATGTTTTGGCTAAAGACTTCAATAAGCACAACAGAAGGGTTTTTTAAAAGGTAAGCAAATTACTGGAAATACATATTTCAGTTAAATGCTTGTGCTTCTAAAGCTCATTTCACACTAAAATTGGTGTTTTATCTTTTATACATATATATTTCAATTCAAAAGAATATAAAATTTAAAAAACACAACAAATAATTTGTTCTGACCACTATGTCAGATTAAAATCTATTGAATTACTTGCAGCTGAGCAAAGACAAAAATAATAATAAAGTCCAGTACAAATATTTACATAAAACGTAAATATTTACATCCCGTGATTTATTTTAAAATATTAAAAATTTCTTTTCATGTAACATGTAGCTCCTATTGTAAAAGTAAGGGCATTCATTCTGCTTTACAGATTTGGTATTTCCAGAATTTGTTTAACCATGATCCCTTGAAATAACAGACATGCTACTTTCTTAATTATAACAATAATACTGTGGAGCCAAAAATAAAATAACACCACTGCACATATGCCACTCATTCAGAAAAGGAAACATTAAATTACTGAAATGTGTGCTACAAAACATATTTACAAGAAGAGAACCACAATATTTCGCTACCCAAAACTTTCTACAATATGGCCCCTTTCCTAGCCCTTTGAATTACCAGAATCAAAGAATAAACCCTTTATACATCACCTATGTGATGTTACAAAATTTTATATTTATTTTTTTTTCATTAAAAAAAACTTAGCATTTACAATATTTAACTTAATGCTCCAATAACACCATCTTTATACCGGAATATACCATTTTTTTTTCCCCCTTTTAATTTACAACACGGCTCCTGAAGACAGACAGTGGTCACTTCAGTTTTTTTGTACAAAATGAATACACAGTCAAGTTTTTGATACAAACAATATTTACAAATGAGAGTCCAACAACATTGTTCTTTGCCTTATTAGTCTCTCTGCAAAAGTGCAAGGACACACAGCCTGCATGCATTCTAATTCTGGAATGGCACATTTTTTTTCAAACATGGCAAATGCATCTGCAAATGACGATGCTGCTTAGTTTCCAGTTAAGACACAACAGGTGCATGATCACAAGGTGGGGAAGGGGGAGAAGTGCGTAGACTGGGATGTTATTTTTTACATCCACAAATTCCACATCAATGACAATTTGAAAGATGTTACAAATTCACAGTACATGATCACGACTCCATCTTTAACATGGGTGGAGAAAATAGCTTTTTGGACAAATTGAGTGGCTGAGACTCACCAGAGGGTTTGTGGGAAGCCTCGGATTGCACCGGCCTGGAATCGGTCTGGCACATCGAGGAGGGAGTACTTGATGGGCAAAGTCCGATGCCATTCATGACTAGAGGAGAAGATGAAGTTGCTGGTGAACGAGGATTGTAAAGCAACCTAGGAGAGCCTGCCCTCGATGTGCTAACTACTGGGGTTGAGGAACAGTAACTAGGTGAGTTCTGGTGTAAGCCAGGAGAGTTCCGTTGCATGTGCGGCTGCTCAAACTGAGCATGAACTTGGACAAGGGATGCAGATGACATAGTCACTGTTGAAGACGACTGTTGCTGTGTGAAAGGCCAAGACACAGGATTTGATGATGAATAAATAGGTGCCTGCTGGACATTATTTCCATGCGGAACATAGTAGCCATTTGGACACACAAGCAAATTTTTATGTTGCTGAGCATTGGTCAAAACATAGTTCTGAGAAGCAGGTGGCACAGTTGAGTTAGGAACACTGCTATATGAATAAGAGTTATTCTGCATGTTGGGACAAGTAAGCGATGGTGTTTCAATGTGATGAGATTGAGATGGAGTCTGTTGTTGGTTTTGATGATGCTGAGAGGTTTGTTGCTGTGCTGGCAAAGTTTCATTTCTCATGATTATATTATGAATTAAATCAGTTCGTTTTAACTGTTGATCATTCATATAACGAGGAGCTTGTTCTAATGTTCTCACAAGTGTACTGTGTGTACTGGCTAAAGATAATTGGCCAGGACTAGAAGGGCTTTCGGCTTCCCTTCTTGCAGCCCGAAACTTTTTATGATGGCGATAAGCTTCATCCATCAACATATTGGTATTTACAAGAGGTGGGGCCTGAAGTGCTCGTTTCAAAACAGGCATATCCTCTATATTTTCATGCTTCTCTTGATTGTGCTGCTGTTGGTGATCATGTTCCATAATGTCTTTCACTTTTTCATCCACTGAGGATCTAGGACTGGAGCACACAGAAATTGTTGGTGTCGTACTTGGACCATGTTCTTTACCACTTTCTATTCCTGAATCAGTTGGAGAATCCACTCTTCTAAGTTTGGGATAAACTGGCCCTTTGATAGGACTATCAATGAAATAGCCTTCATCACCGGAGCTGCTGCCATGTTCAGAGCCCGCATTCTCTACTGCTCTCTTATGCAAATTATGAGAATATTCAATAGCTTGATTTCCATCTGATGGCCAAGCTTCTTCATGGGGATAGCTTCGAGAACTTGAAAAACTTGATGATCTAATTGGACTCTTCACATCTTCAGCACAAATTCCACTACCAATAGATCTTGGAGAACCTACCAGATCATGTTCATCTTTGGAATCAGTAGTACTCCACTCACTACCCGTTGTGCTGCCACCATGTTGACTGTGTTGCCCAGGAGAAGTACTTCTGAGGTCTTCCTCAGGAGCAAGGCATGGTGGATTTTCCGTTACTAAGGAATACTGGGTCCAAATCTCATGTGGAATTGTAGAATATGCACTTCCATTGGCTACAGAAGAATCCGTAAGAGTGTCTAAAGCTCCCACTGCAGCTGATGCACGATTACGCGGTTCCATTTTGTATGCCAACAGCTTCTCAGAATGAAGGGTATTTAAAGTACGCAGATCAGGTATCTTCTTCATCAAGTCTCCAAAAATGCTAGGATTCTCAGGGTGGTTAGATGATACGGATTTCTGCAAAATATCCATCATTTTCTTTTGGATTTTCAGTACTAATTCTGTATTTCTAAGTCCAGGGCGATCTAAAAATAGAATACGAACATACATTAAATACCAAGTCAATCTCTTATATGCATAGACAGAATATACCAATAATTATTATATAACACAACTTCAATCATAAATTTTGATAACTTACCTGCAGCAATTATAACTACAGCACAGAAGAGCCCAACTTCACTGTCTGATAAATGGAGCGTATTGAGCCGCTCAGCAAAATCAAACATGGAGTCCAGAAGAAATCTAGCATTGCTAGCAGTATGAAGGGATTCTCGACGAAGAACTTGACCGTTTAGACAGATCAAAGAGTTGGCTTGAGAGTCAAACATGCAAGCTAAACGCACTAAAAGCACCTCAAACACACCAGCCTGAAATGAGAAATTTATGAAAAATTACTTAATGGAATTTAAACACGTTTTCCAAGTAAATATTTTAATTTTTAAACTAAAATTAGCCAGCATTTAGCTAAAATGAACACCCTGCCAATTACTATCATTAAGTCGGTAATTATTTTAATTTTCAAATTGACATTAGCTGGTATTTAGCTAAAATGAACACCTGTCCAATTGCTATCATTAAATCCTATTTCTTTTATCATTTACTTTTTTGCAAAATGATGGCAGGAAATATTTACTATTTTAGAACTGAATATTTAAAGTGATAAATGTCTAAATTTTTCTTTGCTGAAATAGCACTACACTTTATATCCAGTACGCACACTAGAATATCAGTGATACTTTCACAGTTATGTTATTAAATAACCCTACTTAACAGAACTCTAAACAATGAAGATGGTATGCAATCTTAAAAAACTGAAATTTTTGCACGTTATTATTTTCTACATAATATTAACTAAGCACAGACTCCATCAAACTTTTGCTCACTTTTGGGAATACAAAATACTGTTTTTATTGACAAGAAAATTTTACATTTCTCATGACTCGTATACCATTAATAAAAAAAATGTGCTTACCTTCAATAAGGTGACCTGATCATCTTGAGAAAGAAAACCAAAACCAGGAATTCTTTTGGCAAATTCAACTACACCTCTGATTGCAGGTGAAAATCTTTCAGAAAAATCTTCCATGTAATGTGAAACACCATTTTCCATTATATGAGGAATTGGATTCAATGGACAGGCCTAAAAAAACAAATATAAATTGTAAGTTTCTAATACACACAACAGAATTGAACAAGATAAAAAAAATAGATACAATAAATCAAGTAACAACTTATGGGGGGGGATTCCTAGCCATAAAAATGTAAGGAAAAAAAAGCAGCATAACAATAAAAAAATTACATATTTACTGAATTGTTTTTAAATTATATTTAAAATATGACTATTAAACACTGGGGAAAATATTTGATTAATTTCATACTGTAGTATGAATTACAATTTGCGCACATTTAAATCTAATCTAGTTTTAAATACTGTTAATAGAAATGAAAAATTAAAAAACTGCCAACTAAAATATCAATTTTGTAATAATTTCTGTTAATATAAGACATTTCTATTACATAATATGTTTGTATGTGCCTTAATTATATCTGCAATATATGCATCCGGGGAAAAAAAAAGATGAGGATTCTATACCGTTAAGACAGGGAAAAAAAAAAAAAAAGAGGAAGCGCTGTTTAGCATTTATCGGATAACCTTCGCGCAACCGACAGCGGCGGTGATTGGCGCTAACGATCAGGGCCAACGAAGTGAGCGCTGTTTGTGACCTTGGCCTTGAATAGAAAACAGCTATTGGAGGAGGCGCGTGTCAGACTGTCAGACTGTCATGGCGGCCGTTATGGTGAAATTGTTCGTGCTGTGACGTCAAATGCCTCGCTCGCTCTTTTCCGCGAGCTTTTCCTGCAAACACCCGAGATTCGGAGAAAAAGTTACAAAATTCCTCTGCACGATTGTCTAGTAGCTTCTCTTGACGAGAAAATTTTATCTCACTAAATATTTTGTAATTTTTGACACGCTTTACTCTTTAGAATTTTTTAAAGCACATAAAAGAGAATAAATTATTTCTATACCATTCCCCATTAAGAAATTACTTATCCAATACAATTTTCTTTTATTTCGGATAACTTTTGATTTTATTAAATGTCTGCTATAATCGCCCCCTCCAAAAGCTAGCTTTGTTTTAAGAAATATGCATTTTCCTAGTAATTAATATTCGAGTTTCTCAAGCATAGTATTCTTTAGAAATCGTCCAAGATCTGCTTTCCTAGTTTCAGGATTACCACGAACGAGCTTTTTTTTAATACAGTATTCACATAACAAAATCTGAAACCGAAAGTCTCCCCCCCCCGAAAAAAGAAGCCAATTTGAAATATATTATATACACCATTAAAGCTTTATGGGCAGCTTTACTAGTCAAAGACCTTCCAAATCCCATTAAAAAGAAGTTTCATGTTGTTTGATATAAAAAAAAATGCAACAAAAAACATTGCTGAACAAAGGCAGGCACTTCGTATCAAAAAGCACAGATAAAAAAATCCGAAGTCCTTCATGAAAAAGGGTTCGCTTATTTGGCGACAAGTTCTCTGGAACATTCGCTGCTTCCACGAGTATTTCTCGCCAGATTGTGATAAACCAGGAAGTATAGAGTAATGAGAGATGCAAAATTTTGCGTGCTGGTTTCGCTTATGCGAAATCAAGGTCTCGCTACATCTGACCTTGTTGTTCCGTGATTGATAAAGAGGCAGAGACGACGAAACAAAAATGGAATAAAATCCAATATGGCCATTTTCACATACACTTTCGCCTTGAGCAATTATTGGACGACTACAGAGACGCGTTTTTGAAGAGTTCTCAGGTGGCCTTGGCTTAAAAAACCTCCACTGGTGCATTTACTTTTTTTGGATCCTTCCTGTTTTAATTCCATTTTTAAGTGGATTAAAAAAAAAATGAGGTCAAGTGCTACACAGCGTTTTGCTTATTCAGATTTACATTTCTAACCCAGCACACTAGCTTCCGGGATCATCATCTAACTCAATGGATTGATTGGGAAGGGCGGTTTTATTTAACAAGATAGATAGATTACTATAAAATACTCCAATCAATAGTTATTCAAAAAAATTTCAGAAATGATACTCACCAACTGAGGAGGGCACTGGGTGTACACAGGCTGCGATCTCGCTTTTTCAACGAGTCCGGCGACCTTGTCTTTCGTATAGTCACAGGTTTCTTCATGCGCCTGGACAATTGTGGCCAATAAACGCATCTCATCTTCCAGCTCTGCTCCTAAGGCCTTCTCCTGAGAACTGGCATTCACCTTCTGCATAGCAGCCAATATCTTTGCCTTTTCTCGTTTGGGGACGCGACCGAATCGGACAGCTATAAAGAAAAGAATAATCAATATTAGTATTTATCGGGCTGACATGCTCTAGTCGCATTGCTAAACAGTTTTTCAAAGTGCTATTTCAGTCAGATTTTTTACTTTCGCTTATTTTTATCTTTTTTATTCTTTGAACCAGCTTTTAATAATTAGATGCAAATTTTTAGTATTTATTAATTCACTTAATGGAAAATAATTTCAGCAATTAATTACCTTTCCCATATATATCAATACTACTTACCAAGACTTTCATAATTAGAAATGCGCTAAATTTTTAAAATTTAAACAAACAAAATTATTTGTAATTCCCCCCACCTCTGTAATAATAATAATTAAAAAAAATAAATAAATAAATAAATAAATAAATAAAAAAAAAAAAAAAATCCCGATTACATCAGTGTCGATCTGGTCTTTTTCGAGTATACAGCATATTAATCAGTTCCGTAAGCAATTACATACATTAATAGGAACCTTAAAAAGCAAAACTCTTCTCCTTCATAAAGTATCGACATATTTAATAGGTTTGGTTTATTTAATTATGGAAAAGCACATGAGGGCCAGCTACCTAAAAGAAGGACGTCTTCCTGGAGGACTTTCTAAGGAAACTTGTTCGTATGTATGCTACACGTGGAGAAAACCCAAGAAAATGCCCATGCAGCCAGCCCGTTCGCTGGGATTCGAACCCCGAACCGAATTACCAGTGTTCAGAGACATTACCGTTCGGCCGCTGATGGGTCTCTATATGTTAATATATGACCATATCAAAATTGCAGAAAAACAGCATTTTTAAAATTACAGATACCAGTTACATAGACTTTCTTGTGATATAATTAAGAACTAAAATATTATTTAGCATCCAAGCTGTAATTTCCTTTCTCTGCGTAACAAAGTTTTATAAAATCTCGAAAATAAATTTCTGAAATTAAAGTAGGACGTGAGTAATTTCACAAATCGCTGCATTAATAAACAAATCTTATTAGAATAAAAGCTTTCCCTTGACATTACAAGGCCACCAACACTACTTTTTTCCCTTCTCATTTCCGTATGACGTCATAAGAGACGAATCAACGCGAAAAGCTAAACAATTAAGTTGTAAAACGCCGCTACACATACACGCAAGAAAACAAATGGACTACAGTTCGTACAGGTTTATTATTTTTATTTTTGCCTGCTTAAGGTGATGTACTACGGTTCGGTTTTAAATTTGTTCCAAACTTTGGGGGCAAAAATTGAATTATCCGATGACGATTTAATTTTTTAATTAATAATTTAAGACCAAAAATGTGTGCAGTTTTTTTTTTTTTTTTTTTTAACTAAAATCTGTTTACTCTTTCAGTTGTTCATAATTATGGTTCGCGCATGCTTAATTATTACATTTAATATTAACTGATTCCTAAATCTTACAAAATTAATGTACTCTCAATGCATAATTTCAAGTTAAGATCTAGAATAAAAAAGCGATAAGAAGCCAAATATAGTTCCTGCTTTTGTCGACAGAAATTATTGAGTCGCGTGTAAGTAACCTTGAATAATAAAATAAGATGACGTTTCATCGCTTTCGAAAAATGGGAAAATGTTACTTCACCGCTAACCTTCAAACGGAGTAGTGCACCACTACAATTTTCTTAGACTTCTTCCACCAGCTGGCACATTTCCAATTAATTTTGCGCGAGGAGTTTGATTTGATCAAATTAACAGAAGTAGGGAATTGCTTTTTAATTCATCGTATCTGAGTAACTTTCCGACGTCGCGGTTTTCTCTGCTCTTAAGTTTCAATAAAATACCTTCAAAAAGAACAACCGCAAAACATGGGGGGGCTTAGTTCTCGGAACTACGTCATAAGACTAATGATCTTCAAATTACTTATGAATCAAGCAACTGCAACAATTTTAAAAGAAAAAAAAAAAAAACTAAGTAACGACAACGGGCAACGGTAAAATGGGAATTTATCAAGAGACAGTTAAAAAAAAGTTTAATTTACATTAGTCAATTTTAAAACAAATCTTAAGTAAACGAATGAATAAGTAAATAAACAAAATACAAGTAATATATTTAAAAAAAAAAAATAATTAAAGTCAATTCCTACGTAGGTCAACAAAGAGAAAATGTTTAGTTCCTTTTTATTTTTTATTAACATTATTATCTTTCGTTCCAATAAACAGGAATAAATAAGTAGGAATTGACTTCAATATGTAAATTAACTGCATTAACATCAAATATCCACTACAAGTTTAAAAAATGTATCTGAAGATAAGTGGATGAATGAAAAGTATTTTATTAATGATTGAAAATTTGAACAAGATATAGGGAGAGTGTGAGCTATTTGTAGAAATTTAAAATAATAATAATAATAATAATAATAATAATATAAAAAATAAAAATAATAATAATAATAAAAAAAAAATAATAATAATATTTTACTAGTACCAAATTCAATTTAAAACCGTTAAATCCATTTTATATATAATGAAAAAAAATTAAAATAACACATAAATAAAAAAATATTTTGCTAGTACCAAAATGCAATTTAAAAACCTTTAAATCCATTTTATATATAATGAAGTTAAAGTTTTAAGTTTCATATACAAAAATATAAAATCTCCACTTCTGAGTAAATTATTAAGGCGTTTATAACATTAAATTACAGCATTTTTATTGAAAGCACTACTGAAAAATGTTCAGGTCTTTTTACATACGACAGAAAAACGAGCGATAAAATAACAGTAACAGCAAATATCAGATCTGTAGTATATTATTCTATACCCAATGGAACACATCTCATAACACAAAAATAATGAAATTAAAAATTTTTATAAAAATATGATTTTTTTTTTCGTTTATATTCAAATTGCGGTTACGGTTAAAGAGCATTCACATCACCTCTAACCTTCCCAATTTGGAGTGTTATATAACCTCTCTCACTAAAATAATATTTCCAATACATCCATTACAATCCATGATAAATATTCACATCACATATTTATTCGCCCCACCCAAAAAAAAAAAAAATAAATAAATAAATAATAAAAAAAAATTTTTGATCAACTGAAATGATATGTTCTCACTTACGGGTATCCTGGGATTTCCTCGAAGCTTTTTTCCGCCTCCCGGCCGGCACCTGAACCGGCGGAAAAGGGTTTCCGCTGACCACATTATGTTGTTGCGGCATCACCACCGGAGCAGAACTTTGGGATACTGAACTCTGGTAAGTCACAGGCCTATGTACCTGTGGTGGTACAGTTACCATGTATGGTGCTGACCAAGGCTTATCAGCTGTTAGCAATCGACTCAAAATACTGGCCATATTTCAGCAAAACGTATCCTCCTCAAAGTCCCGAGTCCCTACGACTAGGCTCACCCAACAGTAAAAACGCGCCCACGGGGAAAAGTAACAAGTGACTCACAGGTAACAAACTTGCTTCCGCGAGGATTCGGAGAGAACATAGTTATGGCAATCACCAGCGAGCCAAGCGTTGACGTGCAGGGTTATCACAGCGCCCGTCGCCAAGTTCGCCAACAAAAAAAGCGGGCAGTGTTTTTCGACCTCCAGATGAATGCATAATCGTTATTACGTAAAAATGAAGTGAAGTGGTCAATAAATACGCGTTCAAGGATTCTTATCAGAATGCCGCCACTTATTCTTTCTTTTCTGCAAGCTGTAAGAAAGTATTATTCAGCTGCTGACAGAGGTGGGAAACGAAATACATTTTTTGATATTATGTAACGAACTCGGTTGATTTACCCTTTTTAATCAAAATGATTTTGTATCTTTATAATAATGTCGATATTAAAACTCGTAATAAATTGACGTATCTCAGAAAAATTTATAGAAATAAAAACTGCAAGCGCAACTTTATTCAGAGCTTTAGTAAAGTACTTTGGCTATAAAAAACAGGTATCTGATTTTAAACTAAAGCTTTTTACTTAAAAGTGTATGTTAATTTTCAAAATTAAAAGAAATTGAGCCATTAGCTTTGATGTCAGAAAGAAAAAAAACTCCTTTTATTTGGGGATAATTTGATAGTCTTTTTTTAAGGAACAAATTACTCTGTTGATTTTTAATTCACTAACTAATATCAAATTACTTTTTCATCACTATCTTTACCTTGTTTAATGGCCTTTTCATTTCAGGACATAACTTTTTTTTAAAGTGCTCTACTGAATTTTACGGACAAATTAATATTAAAGTGTGATATGATTTTCGTTTTCAGCAACTATAAAAGAAAAACCAAAGAAAATACATTTTTAGAATTCTGTTGATTCGTGAAGGTCTACTGATAAAGATTTTTAAAGAACGGAATGCCGACAGTTAAAACTGCAAATTCAGTTCCCGCTAGTATTTGTGTTCCATAAAATAAATAAATACAAAAATGTTTCTCTCAGAAAGCTATCCGCAGAAGATATACCAAACTAAAGAAGTACAGCCAAATGTTAATTATTATTTTGTCTTACAGATACTTTTCCTGCCTTGTATTATGACTTTATATATACATATACACACACCTCTCGATAATTTTTTATATTATGATTTTTCACTCCATAAAGTGGAATATTAATGTAGAAATCCGAAGACAAATTCAAAGACGGCCAAAATGCATTGTAACTGCAACCGCCTACATATAGGAAAGCTATCGAATTCAGTCGATAAACTGATATAATTTTTTTTGCTAAGATACACTTAAAAGAATAAATCAATAAACTCTCTCTCATGAGCGATAAATACACGCACATTGTAACCCTGCTGTAAAATTTTCATGGCCATTTAAACCAAGCGGCGTTGGCGGACGCGAATTACGCCAAAGAAAGGGGGAGCCAGGTTTAACTTCCAACAGATCTCGATAGCTGGCGCCCCCTAGCGCGTAGAAAAGACAGCGTAGCCTTGAACTTGTTTCCTCTCTTGTATTGGCGACCTACTTTTATAGCAGCCCGACCTTCAAGCTGGCTTTTACCTCTGGCGTCAGCATCGCCTTTCGAGGTCGATAACTGGATGATTTTGTCGCCAAATAAAATAATTTCTCTTTCAAGCTTCATGGACTCTGAATAAACCGAACGACCAAAAAGTAACATACAAAAATACAAAATATGAAGCAATGAAACAGCTTTTTAAAAGCAAAAGTTCCATTTCTATGAAAAATAAATAAATAAAATTCTGCAATCAGTTTATACGCCAAACAATAAGTACTTATAAAAACGACAAAACAATTTGGTTATAATTTTTATTAATTAGTTAATAACATATTTAGTTTAAAATTTAATACGTAATTTTCATATTTTTGTTATAGAACTATTACCTGAAATAATAAATTTTCCATTATATTTTTACTCACCGAATTTTTATTAAAAATCTATATTTATTTTATTGAAAAATAAAATGTCGCACTTCTCCACAATTTTCTATTCAAAACTGATTATAAAAGGCACAATTAAAATAATCCTAATTAGATAGACTGCAGATCCTTATATACCATAGCGTAAAACTCAGTTATCTTTAAATAATTATATCAGAAATAGCCTACACCGAAAATAATGTGTTAAAAAAAAGACAGCTATTTCTAGGCAGAGCTTCTCTAGGAACCAACGCCCTGAATTCTCAGTAACTCTAGAGAAATTGAATAAAGGGTTACAAAATACAGATGACAGCGCAATAATCGCCAAGTTCCCATCGCCAGCGAAGGCGTTTGGCGACAGGAGCGCAGATCAATAGCTCTACACGTGGAGGGAGGGATATTTTTTGTTTGATTTATTTTCTGGAAAACCTTCACAGACGAAAGAGAGAAGAAGCACTTTTCCAAGACGTAAACAGCAAGCGTTGCACATAGTTGACCTTGTCCTCTAAAAAGAATTTTCTTTCGCACTTCTCTTCTTTTTCCCGCAACGTCTTTCTCGCTAACTAGGAACGATCAATGCCGAAGTCTGACCTTTGCAGGTGCTTCGTAAGGTCTTAATTGCGTCTTTCAGATATGGGAATGGCGTCGTTATAGCATTGCTGAATAGACTCTTCCCCCTCCCTTTAGTATATCAAAAGATTTTTTTTCTAAAATTTAGTCTAAATGCATACATAACTGTGTGAGTTTTCCGTATATCATAACATCTGAAAGTGTGCCTTGACATTTATAACAGGTACTGTCGAGAATTTCGAAGGTGAAAACTGCGTAACATTTATTTCTGGATTTCCGGATTATTATTTGCCGTTATAAAAGAATTTTGAAAAGTCATTCATAACAGTTATGACTGCTACTTCATTACTCAAGAGAAAAATTAAGCATACAAATTTGAAACTGTTTTCTATTTATTATTTAAGTAAAAGTTTTTTAAACTATGCAAATTGCTTCACACGCACAAAGAGGTAGGTATGTCTAATATGGAGGAAGCTACATGTTACATAACAGCCCAATTAAATAAATTTTGAAAAGGTTATTTTTTTTAAAGTAAATGTTTTACTTAATAATTAGTATACGAAACAATTCAACTAGTACGTTCCTACGTTACTTACATCAATTTAAATAAAGAATTCAATGGTATAAAAACTTTTTATATTTTATTCCCATCATAATGCACAATCCTAAATTTTGGATTAAGTATTTAAACATGATAACATTATACGCAAGTTTAATTCGTTCTAAATAGCGCATTAACAATTATTACTGATTAATTATTTTAAAAGGTTACGAAGATATTCATTTTATCGTATTAAAGTACACATGAAATTTATACGTATAAAATGAATTAAAAGTGAAGGCGAAGAACTATCAAATGCTTGAACAGAAGTTCATATAAGTAACTTCTGTAACGTGCAATCACTTTCTGAAAGTAATGAATATGGGCAGATGTTCAGTCTATTGCGGGGAGAGGACAGAAACGCCTATGTAGCAATTTTAAAAGTGCTACTCAAACTTTTGAAAATTATCGTCTGCGGTCTGGTGACGTCATGCTTTGTTGCGCTGCTTTTTTCCGGTACATTTGCAGTTTTATCGAATGAATTTCGCATCAGCAACGCAATTCCTAGAATGTTTACCACACAGGAAAATTTATCGCATGTCCCAAGAAAGTTCCTCTTTACCCAAGGCAGCGAATGCGGAACTTAACGTTATCGTGAAAAAAAATAAAAATACATTTGACTCGTTGACATTGAAAAACAAATGATTTTCAAGGTTTGAAAACAAATTTATCTAGCACGCACTTTTGCAACAATCACGTCGCTTAAGCGACATCTATTGGCGGAAAAACTGAATTAATTATTAACTTTTTAGCCGTTCCATTTTGTAATCCAGAGAGGAATGTTGTTCCCCCTCCCCCTTTCTTTTTTTTTTAAAGTGCGGTAAGAACTATAACTTATTTTCCTGAGAATAATTAAGAGTTATTTTGAAGCACCGCTGTATTAAAGGGAAAAAATTAATTATAAACTAAAATTTCTTCTAGATACTTCTATTAAAATTTTAGTTTGTTCGATAATGCCGAGCGGTAAAGTCGCTGAACACTGGTAGTTCGGTCCGAGGTTTGAATCCCGCGAACGGGCTGGCTGAATGGGCGCTTTCGTGGTTTTCCCCACATGTAACGTGTATACGAGCCAGTTTTCCTTAGAAAGTCCTCCACGAAGGCATTCCTCTCCTTAGGCAGATAGCCCTCTTGTGCTTTGCCATAACTCAACACACCTTGTTCGATAACATTCTAGCATAGTTAGAGAAACACTGTTAACCTTCCAATACAAAAGTATGAAAAAGATTCCAATACAAAAGTATACTGGCACACATTCAAATTCAATGAAACAACTCACTTTCTCTGGTTATATCAGCAAATATGTATTTAATTTAAAATATCAATCATACTGGAATTTTTTAAAAAATAATGGTACAGAAAAATAATTGCATTTGAATATTTATTTCATTTTAAAATAATAAATTCTCGATTTAAAATATGTGCTTACAGTGGATACGATTTAACTCAAGATATGTTTAAAACAACTAATATCAATTTCTTTTATAGTTTTAATAAATTCTAATAGATTGATAAATACTTGAAATGACAATAAAATAAATGTACACAAATATTTAAGTGAATATAATTAAGTAGAGCGGTTTACAAAAACTGAAAAAAAAATTATTAATTTTTAAAAGAATTTGTTTTCGCAATGCTCATACGCAATACGCACTATTTTAATACATGTATCACGCCACAGGACGATTACTAGCAGCATTTGGCACGCCGAACATAATTCTGGCGAAATAGTATTAGGAAAGAAGAAGAGACAGCATACAATGCGCGAGGGAGCGCACGTTTAAATGACCTTGAACTGCGGCATATAAACAAGAGGTCCATATTGGGAAACAGCCGATGCCTATACCCTGTCTCGGAGAGATAGAGTACGTGATTCGACTGGAGAGACTGGTTTGGTGCTGCCATCTATGAACGCTTCTGTGAACTAAAGCTACCGAAAAGGAATGCGATTAAAAGCAAACAGTATATTGCAAAAGGTGGTGGCATAGCTTTGTATTTAAAACATCGGTATTTCAATAAAAACAATTTTATACATGCACATTTCTAATCTAAAAATCTAAGTTTTAATAATTTATATTTTAATATTCGAAACCTTTAACGCATTAAACAATCTGCATCCATTAAAAAAACTTTTTTTCTTTCCAAACAGCAGACTCCAGAAATGGAGAAATATATTTTGATATAAATTTTGATGTTTTAATAGCAAAGAAATGAAAAATTGCACAACTGCAGTTTTCGCTTATTTTCATACGTAACTAAAATGTTAAAATAATTCATTTAAAATCATTCTGCGTTTTGAATTTTTTTTCAATTTAAAAAAATAAACAATTTTCATTTCTTTGACATTTTCACTTAAAATTATGTTTAGAAATATCACTAAGTTATTATGGGGAGAGGGCTATATTACATAAGAGCAAATGAAAACTTACCATCCCTAGACATGCCCACTGCAATGCACTTTTTGAGGCGACAATACTGGCAACGGTTACGGTTAATCCGCAAAATAGAACATTGCTGGTTTTTTGTGCAGGGCCGATACTGTATCTTTTGCTGTATGCTTCGCCTGAAGAAACCCTGTAATGGAAAAAATAAAAACATTAAATAACCTCAAAATTCGCGTTAATTAAAAAGATGGGAAGCATTTCGAGAAAATTTAACATAAAATCCAAAGAACAGCTACTAATAGTTTTATCATACACCGCTCTTCTTCAATTCTATGAAATTATAGAGCAGAAAAAAAGATCTTATCTTTTAAAGAAACGTTTTTACATTTTTATCTGAAAAGGAACAAGATAATTTCTATCAAAAAATTTTAGTTCCAAAAATTCTCACACAACACATTTTTAAAACAACACATTTCGAATTTTAAAATTTCAATTATACTTCTGTAATGAAAATAGTATTATGTGGAAGGAGATAAGAAATAAAACGCAGTAAAAAAATTAATAAATCTTCAAAGATAAAATTATTTTTCCAGCTTCCACAAATAAATTAATTAATATAAAAATAAAACGCAAGCAGATAAAATCAAATTAAATTTTAAAATGTTTGGCCTTTTCATTATTAAATAAATAAATAGATATAATTATAACAGGAAAGTATAATTAAGACACTAGAGTTTTTCTTTTATTGTGAAGCTATTGGACAAGAATTTTATCCTCTTCACAAGACTTGTTTAACCCCCAGCTACCAAAATTTCAAAAGTAAGAGATGCACTACCGAAAATGTTAATACAAATTAAATATTAAACTTACTTTTTTATGGGTAGTCCCTGAGTTTGGGGCCTTGGGTTTTAAACTCTTGAGACACATTAATAAATATTGAGTTAAAAAAATAAAAGTCACAGGTCACGTCTTCAGAAACGGTTATGCATTAAACAGCATATCGAGGAACAATGATCTGAAACAATTCAAATGCAGCTTTTTTTCCAGTGGTCTTGAGCAATCTTTGAACTGGTATAAAAACCGTGCGAAACTATAATAAATAAATTCTTTAAGCTCTGTTGACTAGATGATCAATATTGCAAACCGCTTTGATTACATTAAAAACGATGCGGAGACACAAAAACGTCTTTACTGACGTTCTTCAGTTGCACTTTCAAACAATTTGTACATGTCCAGGGATAGTGGAGTTCTTCCGATAAAACCGCTTCAGATGTATTCCATTCACAGACGATTCGAACTCTCTCTGGCACAATTCGGGTTTGTGCGGAAACCCGTAAAGCGCAAAAAGAAATTCCCGAGGCTTCGCAGACAAGCGAAAGGTCCGCTGCACGTTTCACTAAAGCCAGAGCACAACTGAGCTCGCCTTCCCCAACGAAAAATGCTTCCTACTTCAGTTTCTTTTTTAACTTTATTATTTGTTCCAGCAGTTCCCAATACACTCCGAACAATTTAGGTCAGGCCAAACGGCTAGTCCAAAAACAAGGCAGTTGAGAAAAAAACCTATCATATAAGTTACGCAACTCCCTTTGCGCTTACATCCACTCTGGCCTGATTTTGGAGGGTTCAACGACCGGGCAGCGCACACTGTGGCACACTTTTCTTGAAAGTGAAAGTAGCGTAGGGGGGGAGTAAAGCACTAGTCATGCAGTTGGGAAAAAGGGGGTAGCGAATCACGTGATACATATTCAAGTTCAGAACAAACGATTCAGCGAGCAAGCAGGCCGAAAAAATGGAGGGGGGGTAGCTCTATTAGAAAATAGAATAAAAAAATTATAAGTGCAAGCGCTTCAGGCCGTTGACCCCATTGGCCTGGAAGTTGGGTTACATTCGGTCATTCAACTCGAATGCCTCTCTGTGACGTCATGGCAGTAAGGCAGCTTCCCATTGGACAGCGGTTTCACCTGGGCTGGAATTGTCGATTGCGTTAAGTTTGAGGTTACTAGGTGGAACACATGCGCAAGAGTGATTTTTTTTTTTTTAATTGCTTTGTAGTTACTCAATAGAAAACTCAACAGAATTACCGTTTTACCTTTGTAAGAGATTATTTTCCTCCTACCATTCCCCTCTGTTTCACAATAGATGAAGGTGGGTTGTCTTAAATTAATACATTTACTTTTTATCTTCGACTTCTCGCGTAAAACATCTTCGTGATAAATATTATTTAACATGCAATTTTATTCGTAGTTTTGCGGTTTTTTAAATTGGAAATTGATGCTTCAATTGCTTTTAATGTTTTAAATATATAAACACCGTAAGTTTGCTCATCAATTGAAAATTCAGAAAACAATTTATTAGAAATTTTTTTCTTTAATATTAGCTATATTTAGTTTTAAGAAATTTTTATTACTTTTTTGCTACTTATGCCAATTCTTTAAAATTTTACTTCCTTTTTAACTGTCAGTTAAACAATAAATAGCAATTTAAAGTATTAGGATAAAAAAAATAACAAAGCCATGCCCCCCCCCTTTCATTTCGCTCTCTCTTTATTAATTTATTTCTGGACAAGTTTTTGTATGCATTTGCAATGCAAAAATTCTCTACTTTCAAGTAGCTGTTACATGTACTAAATTTTTTGGAGCAAAAGCAACTGCGGAATGAGCTTCTTCCTAAATTACTTAACATTAGCAGCAAATGGAATTCTTCTCCACATCACTGAATTCTAAAATATACGAATTTGTGTTTTAGCATTTTTATATTATAAAAATTCAAGAATACAAAAATATACTTACAATTTTTAAAATAGACTATTCAGAATTTTAAAATTATTATTAAAAAATTAAGCATTTTACGCAATTACTAGCTTAAATCTAAATTATTTCTCAAAGCTCTTTGGAAAGTTTTTTGCAAATATGGAAAATTTTTCAAAATGCATAGCTGTCCGATTTAAACCCCACCCCCACCACCACCCCCACCGAAAAAAAATTGAATAGAAGGCCGATTATTGCTTAACGTTTTGCTATCAATTTTGGACTCAAGGCTTGCGGTACTAGATATTCTACTTTCGAATACATTGCATAGCGCACTTTAAATATATAGTGCTGAAAATAATTTACTAATTAAGATATTATAAAAATTCTCATTATAAACTCTATTTCAAACGCTTAACTCGAAAAATTATTTTTACGTAACAAAAATATCAATATATTACATTAGTTTCATATTTTTATCAAACGATACAGAAGCATTCAGAAATTAATTTATATGAACGCATCATTTATTTCAAGAAAAAGAATGAAATTTATATTACAAAATCCGCCGAATATTTCACATAAAATGCTAATTTAATTAAATATGTACACCTACATTGAGAAAACATTAAATAAAATACAAATGTAACGTTATTTTCATAAAAATCAAAATATATATTAAAATGCCTCTGAAACAAACAGAAGATATTTAAATGTACCTCAGTATTACATAAATTATTTATTTTTTTTTTTTTCCAAATCAATCTTTGTATAAAATTATAAAATTTATTCTTTCTGCCCTACACAAATTTATCCATTTTTGATTAATATTATACTTCTCTCTTTGTACATTTAAACTGAAAACCTAAAAATTATCGTGCCAGTTTTTAGCGTAAAATGGCAATAATTTAAAATTAAAAATAAATAAATGAATGAAAGAAAAAATTTTTACTTTATGATTAAAATAAAACACGAATTCGTAATGAAAAACTTCGAAGTATCAGCAACTCAATATTTATCAATCAAATACAAATGGGTTAAGATATTCTCTATGCTTAATTAATAATTGTAAATTAGATAACAGAAATCTAACCTTTTTACAGCTGTCCACAGTCATGAGCACTAACTATATTTCCACTAACCGTGTATGAATATACACATTAATATTCTTCCCGCTCTTCCGCTAATAGAACTAATCCTTCTGATACAGTTTACGAAACCCAAACTCTGTTGCCACCACTAGAACAAAAACCTACATACGGCATAATACAGGAAGCAGACGAACTTCCAGCGGTTGTTGAACCCAGCATCATGGGTAACCCTGAACTTGAACAACAACCAATCACTTTCTTGACTTCTTCCAGGGCAATGACCAATGAATGATTCCCGTGCGCAACACGTGACCCAGACACTCAGCGGAAGTTAACATTAGAATGAAGTTTATGCAGTCAGAATTCAGGAATAAAAAATAATAATGGCATGCAATAATAGTTAGGTATTTTGGAGTTTTTAAAAATCGGCCTTCACATCTATTCTTAGTAACGTGCATTTTTGAAATATCCAGAACAATCTCTTGATTTCATATTGAAACACAATATCAGTGCTTATCACAAGACATATATTTTTAATGCAAACAAATAAATTTTTTGAAATGTAATATTTTAGCAACATGTAATTATTCTAACTGCTCTCCTTGTTAAGACTCAACTTTATTTCAACACTATGTCTAACAAGAACATAAAACTCCCAACGCAGAGATTAATACTATTTTTCCCTTTCATTTTTTGCAGCTTATTTATTCATTTAGTGTTATATTTTTATTCGTATTGACTATCTGAATTAAGAATTTCTGTCTCTCGGGGCTCGCGTTTTTAAATTTTTGTTTCAAAAGGAATTTTTTAAAGGTTTTATAACGATTTTTTAAAAAAGTGCATAATGAATAGATATATTTAGCACACAGAAAATGACTGAAGCAGTTACGCTCAAAATGTGCAGTTTTATGACAACATTAAAAATAAATTTTAAAATAAATGTAGTTGTATATATTATAATTCTATTTACATCTAGTTCTGTAATCATTATAATTATTTTAATCTTGATTTAATATACGCATTTAATCACATACGCATCATCATTTGTAAAAGTGATAAATACGCATTGCATTGTTAACATTAGTGTATTTATTATTATGTTAACATTATTAACATAGTAATAAATACACATTGCACTACAATTCATTAAATATTGCTGTTTTTACTGAATTTTTGCTATCGGTTTTAGACATTATGACATTGGAAGTTTGTTGAAATTAATGCTTCTAAATTTAGAGAAAAATATGAAATTCTTCTCATTAATTCTTAAAAAGAGGGAAATTAAAAATTTAAGAGTTTCGATAAACGAACGCTAAGCCTATGTTGTTGTTCTTCCACGTTCCGGCGGCAGTTCGGTCAATGACCTCAAATCAACTAGCTTCACTGCAACACATTTCACGAGGTCATTCACCTAAGCTCTCACGTTTTCAAGGCCACGCGACGATAACTCGTAGTTGCAGCTGTCAAGCATGGGTGTTACCATGGAAACCGATACAAACATATCCCATTGCAAAAACTTAGTAATTACAATTTTTAGAACACTTACGTTTTTATTTATTGCATGAAGTAACAGTTTCTTTTTGGGCACGAATTTACAATTTTTTGTTATTTATCTAAAAAAAAATGATTTTAATAAAATGGTTTGTTAATTAAAAAATAATTGTTTCAAATTCACAGGTCGCCTCTTTTATAGAATTAACATCATTTTAACATTTTAAATAAGTTATTGGGAAATTTTGCATTCTTTGATTAAATTTCTCCCTCATGTAATTAGATGTATTTATTAGAAATATAAATGACTTTATTTCCATATAACTTACCTTGCAACCTTCGCAAGAATGGACACCATAATGGAAACCACTGGCTTTGTCACCGCATACTCGGCAAAGTACCGTTGTTCCATCGAATTCTGAAAAGAAAATTAGCACCCTTAGTTAGCTTTTCAACTTGCAATCAAAACGATAGTGTGGGGACCATGCCCAATTCACGAATCTGTTAAGTCGTTGTTTCCAGATATATGTGTTTAAAAGTTTTGAGCGCGCGCAATGCTAATATATTTATCGGTTCCAATATTCATCTTTGTCCTTCATTGGTAAGATATAGAAAATGGTAAGATATAGAAAATGCACATAGCTGAAAACAGCAAAAAAGACAGATTCGTGTTTTGGACATGATACTGATATAAAATTTTTGCGGGCATGGTGCAGAACAATTTACATTAAGTAAAGTAAGTAAAGCATTCATCCATTAATTTCACATAATAAACTTATACACATCAGTAAATAAACTTATATGTATATATATAATAAACTTGTATATATGTATTATATCTGTGTCATTGGTACAGCGAATTTAAACTTATGCGCAGAAGTTACAAGAATTTAAAAAATAGCTGTACAAAATCAAATTCTATTTATCATTATGTGTCCGTAGCTGAAAAATGACAAAATTTTATTGTAATTAATTTCCTCTCATTTTAATAATATCTTAGCTCATTTCTCCAAAGTTTGTTTTAAAATCTTGTAGAGACAAGAGGATTTTTTTTTTTTTTTGAAACAGAAAACATGAAGAAGGAGCAATTCCCTCGCTGGGACTCGAACCACGGAACTGTCGAATACGCGCCGAGTGTGCCGACCATTATACCACGAAGGCATGCTAAGAAGGCCGGAGAAATACCTCATAATCTGATATTTCAAATTGAATTTTCATGATATGACAGCATTACTTTTAATTAAATTTACAGAAGATATAATGCAGCTATAAATTTTACATTCCTTCTAATTATAGTACTCCTGGAAGACAAACAGTATTTTGCTAATGGAAAAATGTGACTATAAAAATTGCTGCATATGGAAATTTTTCGTTACTTAAAAAAAATTACTAATGAGGCTCAGATTTCGATCTTGCTTTAATACAACATCGATATTTTCTCAACACATAAATCATCCAAATTCTATTAGAAAGCCTTCCATACGCGCATCCCTCCCAAATACACCTCTTGAATGTTTTGCCATAGCCAAATAATTTACTTGCTTTAATGTAAAAATTTAAAAAATTAATAATTTTATGCTTTAAGAAAAATTTTAAAACGTCTTAAAAAATATCTCTTACTAGATGCAAAGTAACGCAGAAATGATTTAGTGTGTAATTAAAAATGATTAATTTGTTAGTAATAAAAAAAGTTAATTAGCCAACGCATTACGTCAATTTAAAAAAATTTCTTTTAAAATTTATTTCTCATCACGTTTTATTTTAATATTCCACACCCTCTCTTCTGTTTTCACGACGAGAATGAAATACCACGAGGTAATGAGTCTTCACAAAATTATGCTCAAGTTCTTAACACTGGTAGTCTGAAGATCTATTTTTTTAGAACTATTGCGAAATAGATTTGCAATTAAATGCAATTCGTTTCATGGAAGATAAATATGTTTAAAAAATGAGGAAGTTGATACGATGAGCCAAATAACATTTAAAATGGTTCGAAGTGGGGGGGGGAGGACGAAAAAAAAAACTGACCCGGCCGAATACGAAGCTCTAATATACACACACAGACAGCTTGTGCAAACACCGTCATCACAGTAGAGTTCAATGACCCCGCAGAACGTTGCCAGAATCGGAAGTGTAAAAGATAACAATACGAGTGGGAGAACGGAGGAAAAAGTGGAGCACGAGAGCGTTTGGCAGCTTTCATCATCATCAAGCGTTTCATTTGTGCTTTATGATTTTCAAGTAGAGCACTTTTAACTTCTCCCCCCCCCAAAAGATAAAGCACAGGCATTTGGCACAAGCTTTATCTGTAAAAAAGGGGTTTAAATATGCAAACAAAACGATATCCGTGTTTGTGAAAGATTAAACAAGACCCACTTCTGTTTAAGCAAAGAGCCCCGGTACTCTAATATAGTGTTTTGCAATACATTAAACCCCTTTAATAAATTGTTAAGAATTATCTCGCACTTTTTGAACAAATCTTCCTTTGGCACATAACAAGAATATTAATTTTTGACTTCTATATTAAATAGTAATTTACATAAATTTAAATAATAATTACTATATTAAATTTCAATAATTTTTAAACTCTTCATCATTCATTTAAAATGTTTAAATCTTACGTACTAAAATTACTTTTGTACATTTCCTTTCTCATGAAGGAATTTATTAATTAAAAAGGGATTTTATTAGCTTTTAAAGGATTTTATTAATTAAAAAAATTTTTAATTAAATTTGAAGTTATAAATAATTATTTTGATACTTATTTCCCTCATTTCTGCTTAAGCAAAGAATCTCGGTATTCCAAGTAACCTAGCGTTTTACGTTATATTAAACCCTTTTAATAAATTATTAAAAATTATCTCGCACTTTTTGAACAAAACTTGACACTTAACAAGAATTTTAATTCTTGAATCCTATATTAAAAAAACTGCCTAGACGGTACAGTGGTTAGGCGAGCCGACTGCGATAACAAAAGGCCGGGGTTCGAAACCCGGAGAAAGCGTAGTTGTAACTGTCCGTCCTTAAAATACATTTTTGAAAAAATATGAAATTGGTTCATTTGTTATTTATATAATCATTCCCTTTAGACTTTCATGAATCTGAATGTAAGAGTAACGATGATATCAATGAAAAATGTACCAATTTTTGATTTATAAGAAATGTACCTTACTACTCCTAGTACTTGAAGTGTCGTCTTTTTATAAGTACCGTCACATACAGAGCTCAGTATGTATTTAATATTCTAGATTCAGTTATTTATTTGTTATAATACTGAACTGATGAAGTACCAGTTCTTCGTTCCTGGCAGAAACTTTCAATAAAGGAGCAATATTTAGTTTTACTTAAAAAGGATATTTATTATTTATTGTTATAATACCAATAATTATAGTTATTAAAAACTCTGACGCTAATTTCTTAAGAAAGTTTATTTTTTTAAAGAAATTAGAATCTAATTTAAATATATCTAACGCTAAACAAAGACACAGGTTCGATTCCTAGTGTTGCCATTCTAAACAAATCATCTCAAGCGATATCTTCCGATACACTCACGTTTTCGCGCTTGAATGAATGTCCAAATATTTAAATTTTCAGAACAATAGGGACACTATTTTTAGTAATATTTCTTGAGTAGGACTGAATTTGTATTAATTCAAAATCTGCAATCTTTACTAGAAAATATCGAATAATAATTAGGAAATTATTCTTCAACAATACCTCTATCTTAGAAATAAAATATCTGGAGTCGGAAACATCTCAACAATCCTGCGGCAGAAAAAAAGGGGGGTGTTGCCACACTTACTCAGTAAATTATAAAATAAACTTGTGGTTTACGAAGATGATGAACAGATGATGTGCTCGCATTTTTGTTGGTCTAGCACTTGCAACCAATACGTCCCATTTTCTTCAGTATTGCTATTTCTGTAATTTAAACTTGAAATAAATCATTTTTCTAGCACAACGGAACTGATTAAATATGCATTTGGAACATAATTTTTAGCTACACTCGCTGAATCAAGTTTATTGAGAAAAAACGCAAACATAATGTTGACTTTAAAATGAAAACTCAATTCAGTGATTTTTTCTCCTCAATAAAGATATTTCCATATATCTGTAAATCGGGTAAAATCCTTACACCTCTTCGATTTCAGTGAAGCAATGGACATAATAAGCATACGACGTAAATGAAATGGAAAAATCAGCAAGAAAACTGATTTCATAATTACGATTACTTTAGGTTAAAATAAAAAAAAAGTATATCAGTATAAAAATAGGACCGTCAGAAGAATGCTCCTCGTTTGGAATAGTTTATACAGTTATGTTGCCTTTGTTCAAAGCAAAATTTTAGAAATATTGCTGATAAATTCTTTTTCAGAAGAAAATGCTTTTGGTTAATTAAGAAAAAAGGTCCCAGACTAGTTAATATGATAATAATTAAATTACTGAATAACTTAACATTAATTTGATGTTGAATATGCCTTGCATTAATGTATTTATGACTCGTTTGTCGATTAATTTTTCGCAATTTTTAAACATCAAATTTGTGCGTGTGTTTCTATCTTCGATTAATATCTTTAAATCTACTGGCTGTTATACTAGAGGCACGCAAAAAGGCACCTCCTCTCTGAACCGACCACTTCCACAGGAGACCAAAATGCAAAATCCGGTATCGTCGTACATATTAATCATCTGCTCGTACATTACAACCGCTGAAGTATTTTCGAAAATAGCAAAAATTAAGTTAATATCTGTACTCTAAAAGGAATGTTGAAATTAAAACGAAAACTAGTTTGGGTCCATGATTACCAAGAGTTGTTTACCCAACATGCGTCATGAGTAGGCAGAGAAACATACTTCCCAGGTGTAAGAAGATCAAATATTCCTTACGTAACACTCGTCAATTAACGAATATTACAAGAAATTTTATAATTATTAAGCATTAATATTGTCTCAGAGATTGGGACTGGACTTCATTGGCATATTTTTTTGTTTATCTATAAGTAAAATACGATTTTATTATCCTACGCGCATAAAATATCTTATTTAACCTTTCGCGGGAACAGCTATAGCTATAAATCCAAAAGCTCGGAAAAATTAACATAGTTTTTTTATAACTTAGATATCAATCTTCATTTAAAAAAAAGATATTAAATTATATTTGCATTTATCACACAGAGAAATTCTCTGATCAATAACTAATGCTAAAACACTTCAATAAACCTTAGTCTGATATAAATTTTCGTTAATAATAATGAAGGTACCATTTAATACTTTCTAATATAGCTAAGCAATCATTCAAGACATCATGTAAGTAAAATATTATTATACAAAGGCTCAAAAATCTTTCTTTAAGATATTAAACATTGCTATAAACGAGACCTGAACTGAAGGCTTATGATAAATTATTTAAAATAAATGATGTGTGATTTATGAATAATACTTTAATTAATGACTATTAATTAAAATTAATTATTTTAACAGCTAAATCATTAGGATAATTATTTATAATCTAAAAAAGAAAGAAATTAAAACATTTGCAAAATTTCGAAAACGATATAAATATTATTAATAATTAAAGTTTACATTCTTCAAATAATTGATAGTTAATACACGTAAAAAATTTGAAAAAATAAATTATTGGTGTAATCGACGAGATTATTTCGATACATTGTCTTCTTTTAAAGTATTTCTAATGTTATATGCATTAATAATCGTTAACAACATTATGAAGCCCTTTTATTATTTTTATGTTCTGCGTAAATTTTTTCCCGTATGTTGAAACTATATGACATGTTTTAATATTGATATGAAGAATAATATATAAATATCAGAAATTTTGTCTGACACAATGTACGAAAAAGTTAATCGTTAAACATAAAGAACTGACATCTTCTCCACAAAATCACACACAAGTTGCTTTTCGATCTGAAATATTTTGCCCAAATGACCTGAAGTAACACGGTTCTACTTTTTATTACAAACGTGGTGGCAACAGCTCGAATATTCTACGACCACTTTACGGCATGACTCGAAGTTTCTCGAAAATTCCACAAAGCAAAGATGACCTCCTGATATGACGTCACGATGACTGAGCAATGTTTTTATGGTTTCGCGGCTGCGCAGTTGACCTGGAAGCAATTACTGACGTCAGAATGAAACAAAAATGTGCATTTGTGTCCGATGACCAATCTGGGAATTGCCATTCGAAGGTAAAAAAAAAGACGAGTGGGCGATCATAAACTCTTGGCCTTTATAAATTTTAATTATTTTTACAAATAAAACTTTGAAATCTATTCCTAAATTAATTTCTGTGCATAATTAATTTTTATTATTATATTTATGTTTTAAGACATTAGGCCTATTATTTTAAGACTAATAATTATGTTAATAAACATTACGTTTAATTTAAAATATTATCTTATGGTGTAAATGTTATTGCCCGACATTTTATGCCTTTGATATTTATTTATTTTTTATGAAACATTTTCACAAACATTTACATTATTTAAATATTAATATTAACAGGATTTTTACGTTCTGTCCATAAGCTATGCTAACCGGCAAATCGAAAAAATTCAAAATCAAATCCAAGTTTAAAAAAAAGTAAATAATTAAAATAATTATAATTATATTTAAAAGGAAATTTTAATGAAAGAACAACTTTTGTTCGTACATTTAAAATATGCTGAGTAAAAATTTCATTTAAATAAATTTTATTCGCAGAATTTAAAAATATTTTTTTTTAATGTTTGCACTTTCTTCTATATAATATCTGCGCTTCGTGGTGGCTTTTCCGCTGATATACACAGCTATAAAAGATTAAAAAATAATTCGCTTTTTAGATATAATAAAGTAAAATATTACAGATTCCTTATCTCTTTTTAAATTTTATGAAAATACGAAAGAGATTAAAAGAGGATTTTAAAATTAATCAATTATGTAAAGAAAGAAAGTCCACAAATTTCATTAAATATTTTTCCGTGCCGGCATCAATTCTGTAAGTATACGATTTTTTAATTCAGCCCAAAGGATGTTAGCTCAGGAGGGCTATTATTTTCTTTTTGGCATTTTGCGTTGATTCACTTTTCAAACTGTTGCCACCAAATATTACAACCCTGGATTATATTTAAAGAAATTAAATAATGAAGAATCTTCATAAATGTATATATGTTTCTCACATTGTGATAAAACGACGGTACTTAAGAGCCATCCAATTTTGAATAACGTAATCCTCCACCGAATATAGGGATCTGGAAGCCCTAATTCGGAATTTGTTTTATTGTCTATTTCATATTTTGTGAGCCATTAAAGAATTTTTGATTTACAAACTCAACGATTGTTAGTTTCAAGTGTTATAAAAACGGCCCTACAGGCGTAATATAAAATCAGCTTGAAATTTCCCTAATAATGAACGTAAGAAATGAACCTAATATTAAGTATTTACCTATACTTTGGGGTGAACAATTAATATAGCCACCGGTTTGGGCATATTTTGTTGACTATATCTATAGAAAATTAAGTCATTGATTTTACTATCACACGAAATCAACATTCGTATCAGATGGAATGGGTCATTGACCTAATGAATTATAGGTTACCCTTTCTTTTAATCGGTTAACCTCTGTCCAATTTTTTATTATATTTTATTTCTCAATTTCATATTATAAACTTATCTGAACCTGTAGAAAATGGGAAGGGATAAAAAAATCTTACTGATATTTATCGTAAACAAAGTATAATAAATATCAATGGGTCAATCACCCTGCAGGTCAAACGTTAAGATATCACAGGGGGGCAATGACTGTCTAACAAACTGTGCAACAGCGCACTGTTAAGTTTCCATCTTTAATCGCACCACCAGCGCCATCTTCCGTTCCCATGACGACAAAGTTGCTATGGAAACCCTTCGTATCCGGCCATTGACCTTGGAAACACAGCTTTACCCGGCATGCAATGCACCAGCAATCATGGCGACGCCCGTGAGGAGTTCTGTCAACGACGAGTTTGTACTTTCTTCGAAGCTTGTTTATGCTTCGATTAGCTAAGAATGGATTTCGAAAGACAACGATTCGATAATGAATTCAGTGGCAATTACTGCATCGCTAATATATTATTACATATTTATGATCAGGATTCCCGCGTTTTGTATTTAGCCGGCGCAAAGCACGCTGGGATAGCTGATCTAAGAAAAGATCACACGCGTAAGTAAATCGATTTCTACACGTGCCGAAAGTGTAATCATCGCCTCTGCACTCTAACCTTTCCTTCGAAAACCATAAATAATATTTTTTGACGAAAATCTTTGACATACAAAACAAAACAAAACATTTAACATATTATGTGCATAGTAAAACAAAAGATTAATAACATACGTACATACTGAAATGCCTACGTTCTGATAAAATTGACTCTTTACTACAAGCTGGTATTATAGTAATAAAATAAATTTGGACGTTACAAGAATAATTTAATTAAAAGTAACATGAATAACTTAGGTCTTTATTTTACCTTCTTTTTTATAATTAATTTAAAGGATATTAAAAGATTCCGATTCTCTTCTCTCATTTGAGAAAAAAATTTATTACTCTAAACAATATTAGGCTTGTACTTAAGTTTTCAGAACATTAATCGATAAAAATTAAATAATATTTCAAGACTTTAGTATCTTAAATTCTTTTTCCAGTATTTACACAAAATTTAATGCATATTAAAAAGTTGCATTTTTTCTCTTAAAGCGAATCATAAACTCCTAATATTCGTGGAAGTTTACTTACGCATTACTAATACTGCAATTTATTACTAATACTACAAAATACTACTTCATTACCTTAAAAAAATTCATAATTTTAATGGCTTTACATTTTTTTTTCATTAATGTCGGTTTTTCATGTAATACCATGTAATTATCGATACTTCCCTTACTTTTAATAATTTACAATATGATAAAGATACCGATTTTTTTAATGTAACATCATTTTAAAACTTTACATTTTTCATTCCAGAAAACATCGTAATTCACATTTTCTATATAAATATATACACGTAAAGCTTATGTCAAAAGATATAAATGTTTCTTATTCCATAAGAACAAACATTCAGGAGTCATTCATAGTAAAAATTAACATGGTATTATAAAAACTGCATAGCAATAATATTATATTATGTAATAAAAATGACAATTTATAAGTAGAAAAAAATGTGTTTCTGGCAGAATTAATTAATTCAAAAAAGATCTGTCGCCTCAAAGAAGACTTATAAATTTACTATGTAATGAAACAGACTTATAAATTTACTTAAACAAACTTATAAACCTCAAGAGCTTAAAACAGACTTAAAAATTTACTATAAACCTTAAGACTTTAAACAGAGTTATAAATTTATTATGTAATGAAATAGGAAGAGAATCTCTTTAAATTTTAAAAGAAGTGCATTTTACAGGTAATAAGTATTCAAACCATATTCACCTATTTTAAGGTCGTTTTCCCTTTTTTCTTGTTCAGGCACAAAAGCTGGCATGGAACTCAACAATTGCAAGTCTTTCTCACTCAGAATCATGTTGAACTCGTGTAATAAAATCCAAGTAAAAAATAATAGAAATCACAGGGCAAAAAGATCGCTTGATCACTCCTCCGAATATTAATATAAAATCTTCAAATATATAATATATATATGTACGTGTATACGAGCGTAAAAGTTTTTTAAAAAAAGATCAGACGTAATAAAATATATTTCCACTAGTATTTAAACATCACTAACTAACTAATAGCATCCATGGATTGGGAAACAACCAGCACGTCGGCCAGCAACATGTGATAATAGACGTTGTGTATTTCCAAGTCCTTTAATTCCATTCATAATAGTAGAAAAAGGATCGTGAAAGTTGAAGTCACTTCCAGCGGAAAGCTGGCGGCGAAATATCGGGGAGAAGATCGCAGCATTGAACGCACACGCGAGGAAAACAATATTAGCAAACGCCGGTTGCGATTTCAAGGTCCCGACTGACAGCGAAAGTTGTTAGGTAGGCTATGTTATGCTCGTCAGCCCGTTCAGGTGTGGCAACGGAAAACCGGTACGTCCAGAATCTAGAGACTCAATGGTTAGCCGAGGATCCCAATGTTACGATCCTCAAGTTCAGATTATTATTTTTCCATTATTTTTTTCCCCGTCGAAAGAAGACGAAGCCGGCGAAAGCTTCCGGAGCCAATGAGAGGGCGAGTTAGTGGCGGCTCGGAAATGCAACGCTTCCGACGATTGGCAGATCGTGGTTTTTCGGCTTAAGCTCCGCCCGCTCCGGAGGTTCAATGACCGTGGATCGCGAGGGAGACAGTCACTGTTGCTACTTTGATCAGTGTGTCACTCAGGGTGAGGCGCATTTTGGCGAGGATTTTGGCGAAAGTTGAATGTTGCCAGGGGGAAGAAGCGCCGATCATCACTCTCGATTTTTTTTTCGGAAGCGAAAGAGTTCGGTTTTACTCGTTTAACTGGGTTTTATGCCACTCAGTTTTGGTGTCTTGGTGAACGCGAAAACACGATCTTACCTTCAACGTAATCTCCCAATAACCCAAAACGGATTATTTATACCTCTCTTGCAAAAATTCACTGCATTAATTTTCTTCACAAATAGTTTTATGTTCTTATATTAAACACTGCTAAATCTTGCAAAAATTCACTGGGATTAATTTTCTTCACAAATAATTTTATATTCTTATAGTATGTATACATTCTATTATTCTTAACTACAGTGGATTTATTTTATAACTACTTCTAATAATAATAACGGAGTAGTAAATTATGATGATGTTTCATCATACTAAATAAGAGAATTTATTATAGGATAAGGAAATAATTAATTAAAATTTTAATGGCATGTAAAAATTGATACGTATGCTAGTTCACGAAAATTCAGAAATATTTCTGAATAAAATTAATTTGCATATCTGCTCGCATAACCTATGCCTCTCAGATAAGTAAACAAACTTCATCTCTCACATCTGACAAGAATTCTTATATCCTTGCAGCTTCGATTGATCTTCATCGTTGCAATCTGTTTTCACGTAAAAAAAAATAACCTTTATTTCAGCTGAAAAGTTATTTATGGAAACATTTCCATTTCCATTTTCTTGTCCGGGATTAAAACCAATATAAATTTGGCAACAAAAATTAAATGGAAATCTTAATAAATATCTTAATAAATATATATCGAAAAATTTAAAACTATTCAAGACCCCACTGTATTAATGTTATTTAAAAAATAATCATACATCTAATAAAAATATGGTTTTATTAATATACTTTATAAAACTGCCTTTTTGTTTCTAATATTCACAGAAGTAAAAATATAACAATGGAAATATATTATAATAAATATAATAAAATAAATATAATAATTAACAATGGAAAAAATTAAATAACGTGCAAAAATTATCTTTATAACCCTCTTCAGTTTAACTTTTAAATTATACAATATGTAAATTATATAAATTTTCTTCAAGAGAGGAGTAAAATATTATATACACAACGGTGAGCGTTTTTTAACAATTGTGTTACCTTTATTTATTAAATTCATGTTCTTCGCACTTAAACCATAAAATTTAATTCCACAGCAGTATCGCAAAATAATTCAAAAACAGAATATCTTTAGAATTTTCGATACACAGTCTCGTACTCTAGAGATAAATTTTTTTCCCCTTCCCGTATAGTGTTGCCATTGCTCGCTTTGAAATCGTTGAGTTTGTAAATCAAAAATTAAAGTTTTACAAAACATGAAGTCGATAATAAAACAACTTCCAAATTCGGGCTTCCAGATGCCCATATTCGAGTGGAAGACTACGTTATCCAAAATTTGATGGTCTCTACGTACCATTGTTTTACCACGGCGCGAGAAACATACCTACATTCATGCAGATTCTTCATTAGTTTAATTTCTTTACATAGGGCTCTAATATTGGGTGGCAACAACTTGAAAAGTGAAACGCCATTTATAATGAAAAAACGCAAAATGCCAAGACGAAATTAATAGCCCAGAAATTGTCCGTTTGGACTAAAAATCTGAACTTAATCCATTTACTTCAAGTCGGCAGCTCTCTTTATGATCATTATAATTAAAAGTAATACCTAAATATCTAGAAAAGTATGTTAACGAGGCCTGTTTCTTTTTCGAATATTCTGCTCCCTCCCTCAAATAATATAAGTGTCCAATAAAAGCTATTTAAAAACGAAATATGTTTGTAAGCGCCTAACATCATCTGATTCAAGCACTTGCAGAAAATGCACAGTTGTTGCACACCTCGAAATGCAGAAAATGTTTCGGTAAGAATAACGTTTGAATTCAGCTAGACAGACAATATTTATTATTATTATTGTCCCCTCCCCTTACAGCTTTGGTGAGTAGACAGGATAGAGCCACGATATATTCATCAAATAAGATGCACGTTTTTGTTTAGTTTAAAATTAGAACATCTGATTTATAATTTAGCTGATTCTTTTAAGACACCGACATCCAGTTTTCCGAATTTATTTTTAAAAACTCGTTTACTTGCGTCTTGAAATGGACATAAGATTTAAAACTGAACGAGGTTTAGATAATTAACGATTTTTTTTTTTTTTTTAAACTTTCAAGTAACTACATTTTTCTAAATCTCATTTTTTAACTATTACGTCCAACAAATAGAACACGATTTTCACATATTTGAAATTTTTCTCTATTATTAGTCAAGTTTAGTAGGTTTATATGATTACAGAAAGGCCTCGAGGACTATCTGTCTAAGGAGAGGGATGCCTTCGTGGAGGACTTACTAAGGAAAACTGGCTCACATACACGTTACACATGGAAAAATCCACGAAAACGCCCATGCAGCCAGCCCTTTCGCGGGATTCGAACCTCGGACCGAATTACCAGTGTTCAGCGACTCTGCCATGATGGTGGTGTGTTTAATTATGTCAAATAGCACACTAGGGCTATCTGCCTAAGGGGAGGGATGCCTTCGTGGAGGACTTTCCTGCCATGATGGATCTCTTTTATTAGTCAAATACTGGGATGAACAACTAATGGCTATAGTACTGTGGCATCATTTTAAGAACTGGAGATGAAAGATTTTTAAGAATTTTTATTGAATTATGCTATTTTCTTATCTATCATAAACGCCTAAAATTCGTTACTATGAGAACTCATTAAAAATATTTTTTCTTAATCGTCGGTAGCTTATAATTTTTACGGATAACATCTAATATATTTACTAGTGAATTTGCATTTTAATAAATTTTGAATGCTTATTGTAATATATACACGAATGAGCTTTATACAGAAGCGAATGTTGCAGCAGCAGTGTCTGCTATGAGTAACAGATTCACGGATAAACCCATGACACTAACTGCTGATAAGGCTGTTTCTATGGTAACGAATATTAGCACAGTTATTGAGCGGTAACTAACAGGCCGGTATCGATATAAATTATAATTTTTAATCCGACATAAACAAAAGTGATGGATGTTTGGATAATTAGGAATGTCGGATAATAACAAGGAACCGACAAAAACTGGTAATTTAAAATAGACCCGCTTAAAAAAAAAAGGTAACATTTTACAATGGAGTTAGATTATATATTACAATGGTAATATATATTTATAATGTAGTAATATATGTTTACAATGAACTTAGAACTGCTAAAATCCTGTATAATCACGCCATATTGAAATCGGTATGTAATATTAATCTTTTTGTGTCTACAATAATAAAATTACTTCTTTAGTGCATAACGATAAGTGCTTCGATACGCAGTAGATTATATAGAACTGTGGAATAAAAAATTAATGTATTGTGGCAATTATTAAGTAGTTAAAATATTTAGGAAGTTATTTTACATAAAGCCACGCAGTGTAAAAACCTTCAATGTGCCAGTGTGATAATAAAATGATAATTTCTAGTTTAACTTGGGCTCATTTCGGAATAGAAGTTACGGAAATAAAAGATTTATCCGTAATGCTATTACGTATTTTCTCCCTTCTTTCATGCCGTGTAACGTGTATACGAGCCACTTTCCCTTAAAAAGTCCTCCACGAAGGCCTCCCTCCCTTAAGGCAGATAGCCCTCGAGTGCTTTGCCGTAATCTAATAAACCATAAACCTTTCTGCATGCCTTCGCAGTGTAACGGTAGCACACTCGGCGCGTATTTGAGAGGCCCAGGTTCGAGTCCCGGCGAGGTAAAGCATTGCTCATTCTTCATGTAAATAATGACTCTGCAATGCATACAACAGTTTTTAAGAACAAAAATACCGAAATATAGAATGAGTAACACTAGAAATTTTTGTTAATCCCCATCATGCCGAAAATATTTCGGAAGATTACCACTGGATGGATACATTAGAAATTAAACGCATTTTAAATTGCAGTAATTGTACGCATTCTTTATAAAGTAAATTATTAAGAGAACTGTTATTTTTTAACGGGCCTAACTTGATAAATAATTCGCATTTGAGATATTCGCATATGAAAGACTTATTATTCGCTTCAATTGCAACAGTTCCAAAATTGGTTATTTGACAGACTGCGAGAAATGAAAATATTTCTTAAGCTACGTGAACGATAAATACATGATAGAGTTACGTACATATCCGAATTTTTGGAAAAATTATTTTCTAACATCCGTAGGATTTTATGTTAATTAACCAGTTAATTTGGATTTGAATCTTTACTTTAATTTCCACTTACCGTAGCCCTCACGAGAATGCATATTTTTTGTTGTGTATTTAAGCCGAGGGTTTGAATGGTTTAGAATTAAGAGTACTTGCAGTTAAGTTTATTCCGGCTTTAGCCATTTTGCTAGCCGATTTCAAAAGCGCGCCGTTAATTACGTGAATCAGCTTAAGAAGTCTATTTTTTAAGTAATCTCAGATTTCATTACTTAAATTAAACTTTATGTTATGCTCATTTAAAATACCCTCAAGCAAAAGCTTCTTATGTAATTATAGACCTTCCTAAATAAACCGGCTTAAGCCTACAATGCACAACCAGCATTCTCAGGTCCTTTACATTAAGGGGACTCATACACCTTAAACCCCTCATGATCTTCGAATATGTGACTATTGCAAGAATTGAGA